TACACACCGCACCAGGTACTCATTTGAGGCTGAGTCGACCTAGGGGAGGCCCGGGACCGGTTCACATAATCGTCACTGATGTTGCAGTTACACACTCACACACACGTGGCTCAGATGAACACGCACGTCCACATGCAGGCTGCTCAGGTGCAGTCAAATGCAGTCAAAGGCAGCGAGGTGCACGCAAGGTGAGTCTCACCTGTGTCATGATGTCGGGACTTCCGAGTCCTTGCGGTGGCGTCACGTCCATGATCGATCTTGCGGCTTCTGCAGCCTCACCAAAGTCTGTCTCTCTCCCTTACACCACCAGCACCACCGCCGCCCACCACCACCACCACCTGCGCTCTGTTCCCTCCTCTTCTTCCCCGATGCCGCAGCCCGGTGGTGATGATGATGATGATGGAACCCGAGTCAGGAATTGCGCACCGAGAGAGATGATGGAGACCTGACGAACTGGCCGGCCAGCTGGCTAACTCACTTGCTATCGATCCAGCTCGCTGGATAGCTGATGAGGATGTATGTCTGGCTATCTGGCTGGATGTTTGGTAGCTGGCAGGCTAAGCTAGCTATGAGGCTGGCTAACGGGCTTGGCTAGCCAGCGAGCTGTACGGGCTGGCTAACGAGCTTGTCCGTCTGGCTATCTGGATGGTTGTTGGCTGGTTTGTCGAATGCAAGAGGGAGTCACTCACTCACTCACCGGTGCTGCCTCCCGCGCACGCAAGCGGCACGGAGAGACGGCGCAAACCACGGCGTGGGACCGGCGCGCAGCCGATTTTGTCTGCCGAGAGGAGGAGGCGGAGTTACGGGGGTGGTGGGAGCGAGGGTGCGGGGTGGGTGACGTGAGGTGGTACGAAGATGGGATGTGACGGGGTGTGTGAAGACGACACAGGGGGGTTAGTGAATGATGGAACGGGCTGTGATGGTGTGCGTTAGACGATTGGGTGTGGTGTGCGAGAGAATGGGGGTGATGGTGTATGTTAGACGATTGGGTGTGGTGTGTGAGAATGGGTGTGATGGTGTGTGTTAGACTATTGGGTGTGGTGTGTGAGAGAATGGGGTGTGATGGTGTGTGTTAGACTATTGGGTGTGGTGTGATAGAGAATGGGATGTGGTGTGCGTTAGACGATTAGGTGTGGTGTGTGAGAGAATTGGGTGTGATGGTGTGTTAGACTATTATTGGGTGTGGTGTGCGAGAGAATGGGATGTGATGGTGAGTTAGTCTATTGGGTGTGGTGTGTGAGAGAATGGGGTGTGATGGTGTGTTAGACTATTGGGTGTGGTGTGCGAGAGAATGGGGTGTGATGGTGAGTTAGACTATTGGGTGTGGTGTGTGAGAGAATGGGGTGTGATGGTGAGTTAGACTATTGGGTGTGGTGTGCGAGAGAATGGGGTGTGATGGTGTGTTAGACTATTGGGTGTGGTGTGCGAGAGAATGGGGTGTGATGGTGAGTTAGACTATTGGGTGTGGTGTGTGAGAGAATGGGGTGTGATGGTGAGTTAGACTATTGGGTGTGGTGTGCGAGAGAATGGGGTGTGATGGTGTTAGACTATTATTGGGTGTGGTGTGCGAGAGAATGGGGTGTGATGGTGAGTTAGACTATTGGGTGTGGTGTGTGAGAGAATGGGGTGTGATGGTGAGTTAGACTATTGGGTGTGGTGTGCGAGAGAATGGGGTGTGATGGTGTTAGACTATTATTGGGTGTGGTGTGCGAGAGAATGGGGAGTGATGTTGTACGTTAGACTATTGGGTGTGGTGTGCGAGAGAATGGGGTGTGATGGTGTTAGACTATTATTGGGTGTGGTGTGCGAGAGAATGGGGAGTGATGTTGTACGTTAGACTATTGGGTGTGGTGTGCGAGAGAATGGGGTGTGATGGTGTTAGACTATTATTGGGTGTGGTGTGTGTGTAAATGGGGTGTGATGGTGTGTTAGACTATTGGGGTTGGTGTGTGAGAGAATGGTGTGTGATGGTGTGCGTTAGACTATTGGGTGTGGTGAGAGAATGGGATGTGATGGTGTTAGACTATTGGGTGTGGTGTGTGAGAGAATGGGGGTGATGGTGTGTTAATCTATTGGGTGTGGTGTGTGTGAGAATGGGGTGTGATGGTGTTAGACTATTGGGTGTGGTGTGTGAGAGAATGGGGTGTGATGGTGAGTTAGTCTATTGGGTGTGGTGTGTGTGAGAATGGGGTGTGATGGTGAGTTAGTCTATTTGGTGTGGTGTGTGTGAGAATGGGGTTTGATGGTGTTAGACTATTGGTTGTGGTGTCAGAGAATGGGGTGTGATGGTGTGTGTTAGACTATTGGGTGTGGTGTGTGAGAGAATGGGGTGTGATGGTGTGTCTTAGACTATTGGGTGTGGTGTGTGAGAGAATGGGATGTGATGGTGTGCGTTAGACGATTGGGTGTGATAGATAATGGGGTGTGATGGTGTTAGACTATTATTGGGTGTCGTGTGTGTGAGAATGTGGTGTGAGTGTCTTAGACGATTGGGTGTGGTGTGCGAGAGAATGTGGTGTGATGGTGTTAGACGAATGGGTGTGGTGTGCGAGAGAATGGGGTGTGATGGTGTGTTAGACTATTGGGTGTGGTGTGCGAAAGAATGGTGTGATGGTGTGCGTTAGAGGATGGGGTGTGGTGTGCGAGAGAATGGTGTGTGATGGCGTGTTAGACTATTACAAAGCGGCGCCTAATTTACCTTTATATTGAGATGGTGAAAGTACAAACGTGGGCCCAAGCCCACTTACCTACTGTTCTTAAATCAATGTCTCGAGCTTACCCATGATCTCTAATTCATGTGGCCTCTTTATGTCTCAGGGCAATTCCAAGCGAGACTGCATCTTGGCTTTTCAGGTTTTGCACCATTTTCTTCATCGACGTCCGTGTTTCTGAGCCACCTTTCAGCAGCACAAAGCACACGATTCGAAACGTACTGCAAGGCAGTTATCTAAACACACTCCCAACTCGTCTTTTCCACACATTTCATAATTTGTATTCCAGTCCACCCTCATCAAGAGTACACATACTCTTGGTGTTTTTCAGTCGCGTCTCTCCAAATAGATATCATTCGTTGAGCTTTTTGGCGTCATCTGGTCCAACACCATGTGAGACTAGGCTCTAAGGAAAGCTGTCTCGGGTGTGGACCAATCAACTTCAAGGAGAGTGCACATTATCAGAGTTATGTTTTTGTTTGCATTATGACTGCAGGTATTGTGGTCTATGAAAACATGACTCCTTGTAAAAAAGGTGTCAGTTTTGTTGCCAGATAGAAGGGTAAAAAAACAATTATCATTCGTTGAGCTTGTTTATGACTTTAGTTCATATTCATCTTGAGACTTGCTTTGGATTATTCGTGCTTCATTGCTGTTACTTTATCCTATGTTTCGCTTTTGTAATATTGGTGAGCCAGGCCTCTTTAGTTCTCACCTATTTAAATTCCAACTAATTTATGCTTATATATCGCCTTGACTCAAGGCGCTGACCATCGTAAAAAAAACCGGTGACAGAACAGAATGATTCAGATGGTAGGGGCGTGCTAGAAGCATTGCGGAATGAGTGACAGCTATAGAGAGGCGGCACCTTCGGGATCACGAGAGGGTTGGGGAGGGGACAGCAACGAGTGGAAGGGCGAAATAAGGGAAAATAATTAACAATATAATTTTAAACAAACCAAGGCCGAAACAGATCAAACATTTTTTTCTATAACCCCTCCCTCTCTCTGCCTCCGCCCCCCTCTGTCTATTTAAGGCCACCCCACAAAGACGATCTCCCTCTCTGTACCTGTGTTACTCTCTCTCTATGTATCTTGGTGATATCTGTCTGCTTATATGTCTGTCTATAGTTTTCTGGTTAGATTTTGTGTTGCTATTTCATTTATACCTGATGATGATTGCTTGTGTTGCAATCGAAACGTCGTATGCTATTATTTTATTTATTATTTTATCTTTATAACGTGACTTTACCGAAAGAACCAAAGAATAATTCCTGCAGTCACGAAAGCTCCAAAATTAAGATCAAACATCGCAAAACCATAAATACATAAAACATTTCTAAATGATCGCAGCTATACTGATATATGAAAATGAACGTGCCATGCTTTCACACAAGGTAAGCAGTGACCACATATTTTTCGCAAAAAATGTGGACGCGAGGAACAATGGATGAATGAGAATGGAGAAACTGTGCACCTCGGGATTTTTCTCGGAGTCATTAAATCGTTCAATGGGGACAATATAACGGGATGGCGTGTTAAGACTGGGATTCGTGCGCTCGACTGATAACCGGTGTGTTATGGCGAGATGGTGGACGAGAGTATGTTGGTGAATTCGTTCGGCTGGTTGGAATTATAAATGAAGATGTCGTGTAACTTGGTGAATGTGTTACACTGGGCTCATACGGTTGCACTAGTGGGGTTTAAGTGTGGCCGGTGTGTGCATAATTGTAAAAAAAAAAGATTCGGACAATTTTTTTTAAAGATAACCGAATATAGAGGTTAAAGTTATTTTGTAACCTAATGTAGCCAACCGTGCTAATCGGAGGTGCGGGGAAGACCTAAACGCAAAAATATACAAGCACGTCTTCTCTGAGATGACATGATTTTATATTTCTCCATCAGCACAGTTCGATCAACAATGCCACATCGCAAATGCCCTCTTGTGGTCAAGGATGATTGAGGCTCGTAGGTGTCCTAAATACAATTCTCCCTCATTAATTATTCAGACATTTGCTAATTACATGATAGAACTTCTGATACTGCGTCAGTTATGAGGCTTATTTTGACCATACTTCACCAAAATGACTAGTTATTTATGGGCGATGGGCCAGGACCAATTAAGATTTTGGCCAGGGTTGGGAATCAAACTCAGGAGGGCTGGTTCATGACACCTTTCTCCGACTTCGCCAAAAACAAACCGCTCTCCTACACCAATTGACACAGGGTGGTTAAACACAGGCATCAAAAGGCATGAAGGTTTGCCAAGGAAGGAATCAGTCAGTCGTCGTATACTATACGGAATTTATTTCTAAACTTTAACTGTACACGGTGAATGCCCTCACACGCAAAAAATAAATGTCAAAAAGGAATTGGTCAAACGTGTAAGATGGATTAAACTCGTATCTTGTTACAAAACACGTTTTAGAAAATATGAAATATTGTAAAGTGACAAAGGCCTTAAAAGGGGGTGTTTAAAAACTGGAATAAAATAATATGCGGTACATCGGAAGATTCCCGCAGGCACTACGTGACAAAACCAAAATATAAATAAAATGAACAAAATTTACTTTTGCTTTAATTATAATTGATGAAAGCTACCATTCCAAAATTGTGTTCTCGCAATTGAGGCTTCCCAGCCCACCACAGTAAAACGTTTCCAGTTACACTCGATCAATGAAAAAGACCCTGGCAGCAGTTGCGGATACTTGATGCTCAAATCGCAAATTGAAACATCTCCGGTGTGACTGGTCACTCAGAACAGGCCATGGAACATATAACGGCTCAAATCCCGATTCACAAATACGATTTTAAAAAAAACATCACAGCAGCGATACAAGACTCTGCTACTCCTGATCCAATGATTTAGCTCAACCACATCGATGTCAAATTGTAGTTGCTCTACCTCAACATCAGCCAAAGAAAAATAATGAAAACGATTGGAAAACGGTGGAGTGGGTGAGGATGTGAGGAGAGATGTTTGTGAAACCCAATGCATAATCGCCCCAATTAACATTAACCTGACAAACACCGCAATATGGAGGGGACACGTTTGTGTTTGTACATTTGATTGTTTGCATGAGCAATGGTTTCACCAGATGTGGAACCTATCCCTTCGAGGGCCCAATATAACTTTCAAATAATTTTGGGGAGGCGGCAAATTAAACGAACAAAGTTTTGTTCGAACTAATAATAACGCAGTAACACGTGCGTGTCGCCCCAACACAAACAGGCCCGATCAGTGCCCGAGCGTGGCTGTAAAATTAGAAACGGTCTTGGCAAGTCGAATACATTCCCTCTAAGTACCCAATTCGCGAGGCCAATGTATGTAAGCTGAATTCCTTTCGCAACGTACGTAGCCAACCGTGTTAATCGGAGGTGCGGGTGAAGGACAAACTGAAGACAAAAACCAGCTCCGAAGAAATGAGGTAAGATGCTAGCAGTGACAGATTGAACCGCCTCTACGGGGAGGATTTCCACACAACTCAGACATAGCTTCAAACGAGAAGATGGATGCAAAATTTAGCAATCTTTTGAAGGATGTGATCAACCAGGTAAATTGTTACCTGTTGTGTTAGCCAACTGAGTTGCATTACATTTCTAAATTTTGTTACGTATATCTAAGCTTCCTTTTTAAATCCTTTATATTAAGTTCGCTTGCTTGCTTGCTTACGACCGTGCAAATCTTTCGGTCGTTTTTTAACCCACTTCCCGTGATCCAATCGAGCTGACATTTTGCACACAAGACTCGTTGTGCGTGACAATTTATTTTCGTGAAATTTTTTTTCAAAATTTTACACTTAGGTAAAAACAAATTATATTTAATTACCAATTTCTTAATGGTGGCAGGCAATCATCTGACCCATAGGTGGCAGCCATCTCAAGCCAGAGGACGAGAGGACTATAGCCGCCCGTTTCAGACCAATGTGGGCTGGGTTGTGGCCCATTGAACACGCATATAAAGGATTTATAGTGAAAAACTTTGTTTTTACGGGTTAATTTTTTTCTCTCACCCAAGCCCTCTTAGAATGTCACCCCCACCCTCTCGCCCGTTACGGCCTCCCCTCCCATCCCCCTCTCGGATCTATATGATGCCTCGTCACAACGGCATGCTTCTCGCTCTCACCTCAAGACGATTGCTTGTTGTTGCGATCGAAACGTCGTGATCTATTATTCATTTTCCCATCTACGTGACTTTACCGAAAGAACCAAAGAGTATTAATTCCTGCAGTCACGAAAGCTTCAAATCAAGATCATCTGGGGGATGTTTTGAAGTTGTAGGCTTCAATGTGGCTATTGGGCTGTATGAAATGCAAGTCTATAAGTCATCCACCCCCAGTTACAGCAGAGTGGCTACGATGCAGACATGCAAGGCCCCTTTGCCAATCCACTGCTTGATGGCCTCCTGATGCCGTGCGAGTCATTGGGGGTTGTTTCACCATACTTAACCACCGTACTTGACCACCATACTTGACCAAAATGGTCAGTGCGGGTTGATAAAGGAGGCCAAGAATCAGTTAAAGTATAATTTGCCACTGATTTTAGCCATGGTTGGGAATTGAACAGAGGTTACCGGGTTCCAGAGGGTAGTGTTCTGCGTATTAATATGAAAAAAAGAATTGGGTTAAATATAAATGTCGTTAAACCCGCCACCACCCAACACCCAATTAGTAAAGTATATAACGTAACCAACAGATGCCCATTTGTTACTAGTACAGCACAACGGTGTTGTTGTAAACCCACTATAACATTTACAATTCGAGTACAACATTTCGCGCCAGTAATTACAATGAGACTCATCAGGCGACAGCCGGAGTTATAAAGAAATCCTCCCGTTTCGGTCTTAAATAGAGAGATAAATGTGACGTCGTCACTTGTGAGCCAATCAGCAACGAAGACCAGAGGGGGAAGGTTAATGTATGCATATAAATTACAATAAATTACCGACATGTAAAACAAATGTATAATAATGTAATTTATTTATCCGGGAAAACCTTACCAAGTCTCAAGGCTCTTGCAAGAGATGTTTAGCCAATTCCTTTTTGACTAGTATTCTGCATGTGGGAGGACACGGGAGGGTACCTCGGGGATAACACTCAATGGTCTTTCTCAAGAGGGATTCACGGGACCAGGCGCTGTACACAGCCATCTCCTGGCCACCTTGCAGGCCAATTTGATTGTCAGGCGGTTTTGCTGTATAGGTGACTATGTATGTTTGTTCCAACTTCTTTCGTACCGCAAGTAGCCAACCGTGCTAATTGGAGATGCGGGGGAAAGGCAACACACTAAACACAAAAAGCGGTTGTCAAGAAAAGAGTTTTCGATATAGATTTTTACTAGAAATGATGACAAATCTTGAGGGGTGGCAATCCGCCTGTCGAAGTAGTTACAGCGTGTAGGGGGTGAGTTTTTAATTGGGTTTATTTATGTTTCTTGTTTCTCGTATTCTGCCTCTTGCCCTTGGCAGCTTCCCTTCTTCGCACCCTTCACCAGGCCCTTGAACTGGCCCTGCATCTTCGCTCTTTTTCTGCAGGAAACGATCGTGAGACAGGGGCGACACGAGGACACATGCACGCGTACGTTACAAACACGAGCATGTACAATGCATTTCATCTCCTTTTGGGCCGTTTCTCTCGGACGCCCAAATCGTCCATTTAAAACTCGAGTTACTGTAACGCGCAAGTTAATTTAGTTTATTTAGCGTTATTGATGGGAATACATATTACAAAATCAATGATCAGATTGTCGATGCACACGTTTAAATGTCAAATACCATACAACCCTTGCACGTCTTCGTATCTGCAACACATTCCTGCGGAGGGAGCTGGTAGGAACGTTGGGTTGCTCGGTCAATGGCCAGGGTCAACGGCGGCGTGGTGTATTCCGCAAATATGCCCGACTGAGGGCGGGCACAAGCCGGCGTGAGTAGGTTAAACGTTGAGTTTTATAAGGGCACCACGGGGTGACCAGTCCCTCCCCACCCAGCCCCACCCCTCCCACCCCCCACCCAGCCCCACCCAGCCCCTCCCCACCCACCCCACCCAGCCCCTCTCCACCCTCCCCACCCAGCCCCACCCCTCCCATTTTTGGATGCACGACAGACGGACACAATAATCCCCTGTGGGCTGGTGTAACCAGGAGGTTCCTACCAGTAGAACTGTACCATGGAGGGGACTGCTGAGCCCTGCCGCTGGTGCCTTACGATTGGTTGCTGCTCAACCAATGACGTCGCAGCGCCGCCTCTTGCTGTGCGCGCGCGGGAACATTTGCGCGAGCCAATCAGTTCAACCCTTACTAAAATCTGCCTGGATTCAATTGCCTATCCAACAATTGAAAAAAGATATTATAATGAACAGGTTTTTTTTTTGGTTAGATTGCGTAACCCACCACCACCACTTAACACAGCCAATTAGTAAGGTTTGTCATGGAAACAAATTAGCTACTACTTCAGTAAACCCACAACATTAACAATTTGAGTGAAATTCCACTGGAAATTAAAACCAGCTTCATCGGGTTATTAGCCAGAATTAAACTGATTAACAACAGCCTTACCCCTCAATTGCAGATGAATACAAATTTACAAAACCACAATGGTCATTTTCTTTTTCAATGGCACACCTTCGGTTCAGCTGTCCCTTGTCGAGCGGGACGTAGGCATAGGGATCCGGTTTTCCCTTCCTCTTCACATCTCCGGCTGCTCTCTGCGGGTCGCAAGAAACGAGCACGTACGTACCCACACGCACACGCGATCTCACATTAGCACGAAGCAAGGCGGGGTTACACGCAATGTGCATGGCTGGATTGAATTACACAACATTGATTTTCTGATTGACTCAAATGCCATCCACTCTTTGCTAATAGTGGCCATCTGCTATTGTATGCAGATCATTTGCCAGCCAAGCCTGTCATGCCAGGTAACTTGAGTAGCCCTGGTCGACTCGGCCATAAATGAGTACCTGGTACGCTGTGTAAACATCAGTACTGGGGCAGACAAAGTGCGGCCGGGCGTAGCGTTGGCCACTCGCCCCCTCGTGTGCCATGCTGGCCTTCGTAGGTGCTACTCGCTAACAGCACTTGCCCCAACAGTCTGTTAAGGCTAAATAGAGGGGGGTGGGTCTTTGTCTTTGGTATGCGAGTGTGCTTGTGTCTGTACGAACCTTCAAATGCATGCGCATGTGAGGGACGAGCGTATGAACATGCAAGTGTGCGAATGCGTGTGTAAATATGCAAGTGTGAGAGCATGCGGAAAGTTGTGTGAGCAGGAGCATGCGAGAGCGAGCGAGTGTAGTCCGTATTTCGATTTAAAGCTTTCGTGACTGCAGGGATTCATCTTCTTGGTTCTTTCGGTAAAGTCACGTATTTCGATTTAAAGCTTTCGTGACTGCAGGGATTCATCTTCTTGGTTCTTTCGGTAAAGTCACGTAAAAGGGAAGTAATAATTATTACTTCCCTTCTACGTGACTTTACCGCAAGAACCAAGAAGATGTGGTCCGTATGTAAAGGTGCGAGCGTGTGTCCGAGCGGGAGGGCAAGCGTGAGAGGGAGCACAAACACGCTCTCACGAGCGTGCGTGCAAAACTTGCCTTGGATTTATACGTGGCTCCAAATCCGGGAGCTTCTTTCTTCCCGCGCACGGCACGGTGGATACCACTTCCACCAGCTGCAAGCAGAGAAATGATTCAGCTCACGCCAGGACCAAGTGTCAGAGAACACATCGAGCAAACCACAAGGCCTTCCAGTGGAAACCAACGCTGCGGACGCGTTAGCGCACCTTTGTATCTGGGCTCATCGGCGCCATCGTCTCCGTCATCGTCCTTCGACGCCAGCTTCCTCTTCCTGTTGCTCGAATTCTGCATGGGACACCAACCCGCCGCCACCATGGGCCGTGAGGGATGGCATCGCGATGAGCATTCACCACACAGTGGTCACCACACAGTGGTCACCCGCCATCGTCACCCGCCATCGTCACCCCCCCCCCCCCCGCCCCCCCCAAAAACCTTTGTTTTTTTATTTTTCAGCAAACTGTGGAAAATGTGCCCAAAATCTCTTGTAGATTTTCTTTAAAGACAAGTCTAGAAACTGGTGTAATACAGGCTTCCCTAGCTTTATGTGCTGTATATGCGGCGAGCCTATTTGTTCCGAAAATCCGCTGTATGATGCCGATTAATTGCGTTCCCTCGTTAGCGAGCGGCCGAGCAGCGTACAGTTGAATTAAAACCTCTCACCTTTCGCATGCCGACCTCCGCCATCATATCCGCGAGCTCCTCATCCTCATCCACTGTCGCGACACACACGCAAGCGTCAGCCGTCTCGTGCACACAAGCACACCCCGATCACGACGGCGGCCTCATTATTTATTAGCATTCATCGCCAGCAGCGATGATTAATCCACTGCTGGATAGAGATTCCTCTGGAACAGACATGGAAAGCTTCTAGAAGCACATAGTCGAAAAATGTGTTAAATAATGTAGGAGCCAGAGGACATCCCTGTCGCACCCCAAGGTGAACAGGGAATGGCTTTGACTCCTGGCCACGTAGCTTTACCCAGGCCTGCCCGTCATCATGAAGGTCCTTAATAATTGTGAGCAGAGAGTCAGGGACTCCAAAAGCACAAAGAACAACCCAGAGCCCAGGCCTATTGATGGTATCATAGGCCTTGACCATGTCAATAAACAAGAGATGCAGGTCCTGTTGGGTTCCCTACACCTCTGCTGTAGCAGCCAGACAGAAAATATGGACCACCCTAGCCTAAAACCACATTGGGGCACTGCAAGCCTCTTCTCAGTGCCTTGTAAGGCGAAATTGAATAATCCTTGCCAGAACCTTTCCCGGCACACGAGGGAGATGCCCCTGTATTTGCTACAGTCTATATTCTTAGGTTTTTTCGGTAAAGTCACGTAGATAAAACATCAAAATTAATAAAAATAAAATAAAAATCACGACGTTTCGGAGGCAACACAAGTCTCCGTCATCAGGTGGGACCGTTACAGCCAGATTAGCTGCTTGCTTTTAAGGGATTACATCTTGAATCATTGCCTCACTTGATGCAGCTAATCTGGCTGTGACGGTCCCACCTGATGACGGAGACTTGTGTTGCCTCCGAAACGTCGTGATTTTTATTTTATTTTATTTTTATTAATTTTGATGTTTTACCTACGTGACTTAACCGAAAAAACCTAAGAATATGAATCCTTGCAGTCACGAAAGCTTCAAATCTAGAATTAATGCCCTCTACGGGGAGGAATTCCACCTATCTGTTAGAGTTTTTAACAGACGAGACAAGAAGTCACAGCTTCTCGAGACGCTGGCCTTCCTCAAGAGATGCCGAGACAACAAGGTAATACCCATCGCTGATGAGCTCCCCCCCCTCTCCTCCCCCCTCAACTTGCTTTTAAGGGATTACATCTTGAATCATTGCCTCACTTGATGCAGCTAATCTGGCTGTGACTGTCCCACCTGATGACGGAGACTTGTGTTGCCTCCGAAACGTCGTGATTTTAATTTTATTTTATTTTTATTAATTTTGATGTTTTACCTACGTGACTTTACCGAAAAAAACCTAAGAATATGAATCCTTGCAGTCACGAAAACTTCAAATCTAGAATTGCTACAGTCTGTGCAGTTCTCCTTCTTAAAGAGGACCACCAGTGCATCTTTCCAATCCTGCGGAACACATCCAGTGGTCCAGACAGTTATGTCATACAGACACACACATACCTCATTAAATACTTATCAGTGTTGAGGCCTGGTTAGTCGTTGGATTTAGCTTGAAAACTCATTTCTATAGAATAGCTTATTGTGTTTAGTTTATTGTCCTTCCCCCGCACCTCAGTATAGCACAGATAGCTACATACGGTGCGAAAGAGGTTCACAATATACACTCAAACACACATATATTACCTTGACCCCTTTTCTTTTTCTTCATCTTTTCCTCCTCTTCCTCCTCGTCTCGGATGATGAGACGTCCATCAGAAGAGAACTTGAAGTCGTGCTTTACGTGACTGCGCTGGTTTTGCTCAGGTTTGGTGGCTGAGACAGGTACCCACACAAAGACATGAACACACATTAACATGTGTCAACCTGACATAACATTATCCAAAAACCTACCTTCTTGCCTATTATAACTCACCATAAACCTTACCCTGGTACAGTAAAATCTTCGATTGCGAGCATAATTCGTTCCGGAAACGTGTTTGTAATGCAAAGCACTCGTGTATCAGTTGTGATCACGTGACGCTCGGCAGGTAAAGCGTATACACGCACTACTCGTATTGCAAGACCTCGCTCGTTTATCAAATTAATATTTATTTAAAAAATTTGCTCGTCTTGCAAAACACTCACAGACCAAGTTACTCGCAATCCAAGGTTCAACTGTAATCTTACCTACGAGCTAGAAATCCCACCACAAAGTCAACCATTCCTCCCAGTTATATTGCTTCCTCTTAACCCTACCCACCAAAACCACGTTGTTTACCGGTGTCTAACCATGGCAAGGTCTCGCCATGTAATCGCTGAATTCAATCGCAATGTTCACGGTCGAAGACTTTCTCGAGAGGGGTCTGCACTTGGGATGTTTGGCCAATGACGATGATGAGAGATCGAGCAAACAAGAGAACACGGAGAAAACCCACACGTGTATACGAGGTGTAACCCTTAACAACACTACCAGCCCCTCCTAGCCACCTCGCAAGCACACGGACAGCAACCGTTGGTGAGCCCTGGGGCGCTCACTTACCCAACTATAGCCCACTGAGCTGTATAGCTCTTTCTCAGAAGCAACCTTGCCAAAAATGATAGCTCACTGAAGTGGCTTATCACGTGATAATCCATAGCTGCCAAATACTCTAAAAACACATGTTGTTTCTAAATGTGGAGGGAAAATCTGAAGGACCCGGAGAAAAATCGACACGACCACAGGAAGAAAGAAATGCAAACTCCAAATATACAGCGGCAGGAGTCAGGGTCGGAATCGAACCCACGACCTTCTGCGTACCAGGCGAGGTAGTCAACATCTCGCAACACACAAGATGGTGTCGGGATGGGGGAGTGGTGGTGGGGGTTCGGTGTAAATAACGGCGCTCGTTATTACCCAGGACTCTCTGCGCCACGCTCGGGTCGAGGAAGTCAAGCGGCTCGTCGCCCTCGCCTTCCTGCAGCCAGGCCTTTGCGGCTTTCGGGGCCTTCTTGCCGCCCCGGCCTGCAGACTCCTCCCCCTTGCCACCCTCCGGCTCAGAGTCGCTGTCAGCCAGCAGCTGATCCACACTGCGGAGCGCAGGACACAAAGCAGCATGGGGTAAAGATCAGGACGGGACACCAAGTCGAGCTATTCAGTAATATTTTTTAAACATTGTTGCTAAGTTGAAAATATCCCCCCTCTAGTACACGATTATTGCGGGCAAGTTTTTTAACAAACGAAATAACAATTTTTTATTTTACCAGGTAAGGCTCACTGAACTATATTAGCTCTTTTTCAGAAGCGACCTGGCTACAAATGAAAGCTCAAAGAAGTGGCTTCTCATGTTGAAATGTATAGCAGCCAAAGACTCTAAACGCACATTTCAAAATTTGGAGGGAACGACCGGAGGACCCGGAGAAAAATCCACAAGACCAAGGGGAGAGAGAGAGAACATGCAAACTCCAAATATACAGCAGGCGTCAAGGGTGGGGATCGAACCCACGACCTCGTGTACACCAGGCGAGGGAGTTAACATCTCGCCATCAGTACGTCTTGACAAAGCGGGCGACGAGTCAACTTACTTGTCCCGGATGCTGCTGCGCCTGGACTTAGCGTCGTCCGCGTCTCCGTCGTCATGATCGTCGTCATCGTCACCGCCCGCGTGCCCCAGAGCACGGCTCTTGCGCGCTCGCTCCTCCGCCTTGCGGATGTTGACAAGCACCTTGTGGTACGTCTCCGGCACCATGCTGTCGATCATCTCGTAGCTGCCCATGCGTGCGCGCACAACACACGCACGCAGTGTTCTATTTAGTATCCTTTATGATGATGATGAAGTGATGATGATGATCAGAAGATAATGATTATGATAATTTTTATGGTCAGATATTGATGATGATGATGACGATAATGATCAGATGATGCTGAAGATTATCAGGTGTTGATGATGAGTGAATAGTGATGATGATCATAATATTCAGGTTTGGGAGTTTCACAAATCCATGTAATCCACCAACCCAATCATACACATCCCAACATACAAGGCCATAAATAATATACATTCCAGGCAAGGTAAACCCAACACAGATAATTACATGATAGCAAGACATCTGGAGAAAGTGGTGCACCAATGAACCTGGGTGTGCCAAGTTCAATTCCCGGCCATGGTTACATCAGCGAGATCACCAACTCGCACTGACCAGGATGGCGAAGTATGGTCAAACAAACCCCATGACCAACACTGTGTGAGAAGGACCTCACTCCATCCAGCAGCAGATTGACAAAGTACTGAAAACATGAATGACCTGTCTAGCCAAACCTCTCAGTACAGATTAAACAACCCCTACACCTGGCCAATCGTTCACCACAAGAAAAATTGATTTACAGCTTTGGATTTTTGTTCGACAGTCGAACGTTGGCACGCCGTGACCCGTGACCGCGCTGCTCTATTTAAAGTCTCAGCACTCACCCGAACTTGCGTACGAGTTTTGTGAAGATGTTCTTGACCTTGGCGCGGAAATGTCTCCTGCTGTCGTCTCGCCAATTAACAATGCCCTCCACCTGTGTGATGCGGACACACACGACACACACACATATATACACACACACACACACAAGACACACATACACACGAGACACACACGAGACACACACACGAGACACATATATATATATACACACATGAGACACACATACACACACGAGACACACACAAACACATACACACACGAGACACACACACACGAGACACACACACACAGACACACACACATACACGAGACATACCAAGGCGTTGATTCCCCATTATATGTAAGCGAGCACCTATGAATGCCGGTAAGGCACAGGGCCATAAAGTGGACAAGCACCACACACAATCCTAGCTACCATATTCTTGGGTCTTTCAGTAAGGCCACGTAGATAGATTCAGACAAAAATAACAAAAAACGACGTTTCAATTGCAACACCCCACCCCCCACCTTTTCCTGAAGACGACCGCTTGTGTTGCGATCGAAACGTCGTAGTTTTTTTGTTATTTTCTTTGAACCCATCTACATGACTTTACCGAAAGGCCCAAGAATATTAATTCCTGCAGTCACGAAAGCTTTAAGTCAAGATTTTAATCCTAGCTACTATTGCGTGCCCACTGCTGCTCATGTTCAAGTTGCACAAGGTATTACTTTTAGCGCCCGTGACCAAATCAAGAGGAATGCTCCCAATCTCGTCAAATTTCTGGAAGCTCAGCAGAATTGAGCCTGGTTAGCTCTTCAACAAGCCGTCAAAATGCACAACAGGTTGTTATAGGCTGCTGCAGGACCTCGTGGTGGGCCAGCAAAACACATCGTCCACAGTTCAGACATCTGGACCGTGTGGAGTGTATGTGGGCAATGTAGATTAAGATAATTATTAATCTCATTATATGGCTATCTTCATAATCAACGTTTTTGGGTTTAGATCACGTTATTTATAAATGTGTCGTAACCCTCCACCACCCGACACGACCAATCAGTAAAAAAGTGTCACGTTGACAAAAGACAAATAGTTCACTGCTTTAGCCCACCGGTGTGTTGAAGCGTGAAACCACAACATTTACAATTTGAGTAGTACGACGTTTCGCTGGTAATTGCATCCAGCATCATCGGGCAATTCGCCTACGTGTTAAATATGGCTATCTGTCGGTTAGGTTACAGTCCGAGTTGGAAGGGGGGGGGGGGGAGGTAGGCGGGCAGGCGGGCGGGGAAGGTGGCGCCACTTACGATGAGCTGCACGTGCTGCGCCAGCGTGCGCACGTCCGTCACAAAGATGACGACCTTGAGAAACCCGAGTGCAGACTTGACGACGTCACGCGTGTGCGACGACAGCAGCAGGACCACGTTGGACAGCAGCTGAGACAGCACGCTGCCCTCCAGGTGGTCTGCGAGTGGACGGGCGCATTGGTCAGGATCACTTTAGAATGTATGCACGCGTGCTGAACTTATTTCGCACCGTACGTAGCCAAACGTGATAATCGGAGGCGAGAGGGAAGAACAAACTAAACACAAAAAGCAGTTCTAAAGAAATGAGTTTTCAATCTAGACTTAGAAGTGCATAGCTCAAGTGGCTTCCTAATATCGGAAGGAAGAGTGTTCCAGACGGCCGGAGAAGCGCATCTCAAAGCATGCGATGCGGTAATAGTCTTTGTTCGATGGCCAGCCAAAAGCCGCTGCTGCAACTGGTCAGTAAATTCATGGAGGCAGCGGCACGTGACTAGTAGCCACAGGCATAGCGGAGAGTTATACTGGATGTGGTGTGCTGGATGTAGAAATATTTTCCAGGTCACCGACTTGGACAAGACCCAACTGAACTTGAGCCCTGGGGCCTGCGTGAGAAGGCCGCTGACGAAACAAAACACGTGTGAGTGGGGAAGGAAATCACCGACCTTTGAACTCGAAGAGGATACGCGTCAGGGCGAGCACGGTGCAGCTGATCATGGTGACGGAGCCGGCAAGACCGGCGTAGACGAGGGCCAGGTAGCGCCGCAGAGCCTCTGTCCCGGGGAGAGGTCAGCCCACGAGGGGAGAGGTCAACACCGCTCAAACAACAGCGATCATTCTCAGCAAAGGACACGGCCGAGCACGCGAGCTCATAACATGGGGGCAATGTCAATAACGCACGGCTGAACTCAAACCCCACACGCATAGGCCCAATCCATCACGCACTGGGAAAATCAACCTTGCGTAGCTGAAAAGAATGGCAATGTCGCAACATTGGCCACATACTGGCAAAGCCAATTATATCACCGGGAAGTCCACCAAGCACAGGTTGGAGTTACGCAGCATGTAATGAGGCATCGATTAAAAACCAAATCTCATGCTCCCCATGCTTGCATCAAATAGTACGTGTGAGAAGCGGCTATACCACATGTATGAGAAGCATGAGGAGGATATTATGTTTAGGTCGATGGCATGAACAAAAATCTACAAACAGGACAGTAAAAGTTTAATCATAAAATGGAATATTTTTTTTATAAAGTACAGATGATATATTATATTACGGTTATACAACCATGACCCCGAATCACAGTAATTTACCAAATCGATAGGGATGGGGGGGGGACAGGAGGGGTGGGGGGAGGTAGAAGAGCAGAAGTTGAATCGCAACAAGCTGAACTACTAACGCGGACACAAACCAACATGCGCACAGATGAGCTTTGCTGCCAAACGACGATCGCTTGGAACCCAAATCCACAACTGTCGATGGGAAAACTCCCTCCCCTCCCTGCTTAGCATTGAGACTCTGCCCACGTCTTGCGCCGTGTCTTCTCACCTGGTTTGTCGTCGGGCTGGAAGCGCAGGAAAGCGTGGCCTATCTCGGCAAGCAAGTTCAGGGAGCTGGTACGGGCGCTCACCGCCACCTCCTTGGTGCACAGGATGACCTGCAGTGGCGGCACACGGACACCGTCACGTTGGCGTCATAGCAGTGACGAAGCCACCGAGGCCGCGCCCGGCCTCGTCAGATCTCACAAGGTCAACCAGAGGTGTTGAGCATGGTTAAGTGCACGGATGGGTGACCTCTGGTGCACGCCAGGGTGCTGTAGACGCATGGTTGCGAGGGTGTGTGTAGGTATGTTGAACTCCTTTTGCACCATACGTATCAAAACACTCTAATCGGAGGTGCGGAGGAATGACAACAACTAAACACAAAAAGCAGTTCTAAGGAAATTAGTTTGTTGATCTAGATCTAAAATTGCATAGCTGCAGTGGCTTCCTAATATCGGAAGAGCATTCCAGACGGCCACAGAAGCGCATCTGAAAACGCACGATGTGATGGCCATTTTTGTTGGATGGTGAGCTAAAAGCCGCTGCAAGGGTGCTGAACAAAGGACTCAAAAACCAAAAATGCCAATCAGCTAGCAACAGATTGCACCGTTAAGAATTTTAGATAATAGTTGACAAGTCTCTTTAAGTAAAGTCACGTAGAAGGGAAAAAATAAAATAATAAAAATGCATATTATTTTATTATTTCCCTTCTACGTGACTTTACCGAAAGAACCAAGAAGATGAATCCCTGCAGTCACGAAAGCTTTAAATCGAAATTTAAGTTTCTTTAATTGAGCATGGTTCTAAGAACTTGGGTACAGAGACGATGGTAGGGGATTCCCAAGTTTTGCAGTTCGAGTTAAGCAACATCAAGAGTAGTGTGTTCAGATGCCACAATGGGCAGAGAGGATTTGCGTTCACTTCCTGGATTTAGTGTGCGGGGATTGACCATCAGTGTGGAGCTCTGGAGTGTTATACCCTGCCGGGTATTTCACGAGCGAGCATCCTCTAGTGGCACTCCTAAAAAGTCAGTTGAAAGTCTTACCTCGGGGATGATGGCCGTCAGGAAGTCCTCCCGATCGGCCGAGAGCTGTTTCACCACCAGGGCCAGGCACTTCAAGCGGGGCTGAAGCGTACACACGCAGACATAACGCGTCGTTCACAAGTCAGTTTTGCCTGGTAACTGTCAGAGCAACAGCTGTTTGCGAGCGCCCGTCATGGTCGACAACGTGCATGACGGGGAAAGTCTGAGATACCATTCCAATAAACATGGAACGTTGAGCCAGCTGTTGCAAACACATGCCCCATGCGCTCAATGTGGGCTCAACGATGACGCGATGCTGCCCTGACGTTGCACGTTTACTGCGACGGATGGCTGCCTTGCGTTTGTTTGAAAATAAGCACGTTGTATCGACGCACGCCCCGCCAATTTTCTAGTGACTCAGGTGGAGCAGAGCCCCGAGCTGGCACTGCCCAGAATCTGGGTTCAATCGTAGTCAGCTGCCTGCGATTCAATTAGCGAAAAGCACCACGTGTGAGTAGGTAACCAAGGTATGACTGACCACGCGAGTCTATGGCAGTGTCCTACATTGAGCGACACCTAATGAGGCGTTACCAAGGCATTGCCTAGAGCGAGTAATTCCCTGCGATGCAGCCATTTAAACGTTATCAAGGTTATGCTTATAATGAGCAATAGTTTATTATAGACAATTCCAAAGCATTGCCTATATATGTTACCGTCTATTACCTACAATGAGCGAATCCACAATAAAAAATACTAAAATATTGCCCATGGTGACAATTGTGATGCACAAAGTACAGATTTCTCACTTTATGCTGTAGTAGATGCGTTCCAAGAACACACACGGTACACACACAATGTTGACCCACGTCCGCCCGCACAGCGAATTTTGGGTCAAAATAGGTTAGCCGCACGTGCAGCATGAAATCGAACAAACTAAACTCGCATAGAGCGAGGAAAACCTGTACCACACCTGTGATGTAGACAGTGTGCTATGAGGAAGGGGCTATTGCCCACACTGTCACCAATTATGTGTCCTTTTAAGGCCACACACACAAGGTGCAATTGACAGACCGTGTCGAGTTTGTTGTTGTTAACTGTGCTTGTGCACCACTGCCAATGGCAGCAGCAACAATCGCCAAATCTCGATTTAAAGCTTTCGTGACTGCAGGGATTCATCTTCTTGGTTTTTTCGGTAAAGTCACGTAGAAGGGAAGTAATAAAATAATAAAAATAAAACATAATAAAATAATTCTCACGACGTTTCGGCTACAATGCAAGCAGCCGTCTTCAGGTGAAGAGACGGCTGCTTGCGTTGTAGCCGAAACGTCGTGAGAATTATTTTATTATGTTTTATTTTTATTATTTTATTACTTCCCTTCTACGTGACTTTACCGAAAAAACCAAGAAGAATCGCCAAATCATCGACCGCTCCTGACGAGCGATTCCCAGCAATCCACACGACGCCGAGTGCAACGCGGTGTTGTGAGGTGGGGGCATCACCCGCTTGGCAGGGGAGGCGGTGGCGCGCAGGGAGGTGAGCAGCGCCTCCTGCAGAGACGCGAGGTGGCCGAGTACAAAGTTCTGGCACGCGGGACGCTCGCCCGCGCACGCCTCCTGCACCACGCGGTACGCCTTCTTCTGCATGCCCACGTCTCGGCTCTACACACACACACAAAGACAAAGATTCCACATGGCTTTTTTAGACTTTTAGGACAAGTGTTGTCAGCGAGCATCTATTAAGGCTTGCACGGTAAATGCGGGATTGGGTGGTTAGCAAAACGCGCGGCTTCTTTTGTCTTTCCCATTGATGATCTTTATATGCCGCACCGGGTAATTCATTATTTTACGGTTGAATCACGCTAGCAGAGGGCCAGATATCCGAGGTTCGTTGTGCAGTACACCAACCACTGCGGCGACCGCTCCCCGCCCGACACAAAGATCCCCACGCATAGCGTTTAACAGACTGTTGGGTCCAGTGCTGTAAGCGAGTAGCACCTATGAAGGCTGAAACGGCACATGAGGAGGTGGGTGGCCAGCACCACGCCCGGTCGCCTTTAGGCTCCCTCTTGGCGATGTGTACACACCGCACCAGATGCTCATTGGAGACCGAATCGACCGAGGGGAGGCCCAGGACCAATTCAGATAATTGTCACTGGTGGTGGCCGTGATCGAACCCAGTTCACCAGGTTCGTAGCACAGCGTGCTAATCGCTACCCTACTGCTCCCCGTCCTACACAGGTTTCAAGTTTTAAGTTTTCATTTATTAGGTATAGCCCTGTGAGCCATGCGGCTCTTGAGTCGGGTGCAACCGCAATAAACAAAATATGAACAGAGAACATCTTAAAGCTACGACGCGCAACAGAAACATCCTGGATTAACCAGCAAATCTTCCAGAAAAAAAAACGTATTACAACGCTGTGTGCAAAAATCCCAATTACACACACACACATATGCAGCAGATCCACACAAATTCCCTGTATAGCCACCCAGACTGTGTACGGATCTTTTTGTTTCACTGTTGTCACTGAAAAGCGCATATGCAGCAGGGCAAAGTCAGCAGTCTCGCGCCACCGAGCCACCTTCATTGTCAACACCACTGTAGCGAGCGCCCGCTAGCGGCCGTGTTCGTGCAGAACGCAGGGGAAACGTTTCACAGTAAACGGAGCGGGGGGACTGCCCCAGCAATAATTTTAAATATGCAGTTTATAAACTTTACGATGTGCAGGTAAGTATTGTTTTACACATTTCTATATAAACAATTCAATAATTAGTTTTCACTGCTGGTGTAGCCTGGCAGCGGCCGGGCCCCCCTAGTTACCAGCCGCCACCTTGAGCTAAATCTAACCACCCACGGGCCCAGGAATGGGCATGACGACTGCGCCGTGCGCTACGCCGCTCTACGGGAGACGCACCTGCAGGTGAGGCAGCACGGTGGCGTAGATGTTCGCCAGGTGAGCCTCGTCCACGAACGGCGTCATCACGACCACCAAGTCCATCACCAAGCAGCCTGAGCACCGTGGGAACAGAGGCAGACCACTCAAATCGCTCCGGTCCAAACATCGGAGGGGTGGCACCCAATATTACTTGCCATTTGACGAGTGCCGAATGCTATGCGGGTATTCTGTGAATCCGAATTAACAGCTAGTTTGCAATGTTTAAATGTATTTTTTCAATCAAGGTCTACGTCGTGTTGTGCTTCTCAGTCTGTCTCAACCCTCTCTGTGTGCCTGTTGCCTGGATCTATCTCCATCTGTGTCTGGGTCTCTTCCCTCGGTCTGTGTCCCTGTCGACCTCTGTCCTGTTCTTTTTTGCCTCAACTTTCGTCTCTCTCAGTCTCGTCTCTCGTGACGAGAGTTGACCCTGTATTTCGTAGATCCTGTTCCGCTGCGATGCTCTGCTAACTTTCTGCTCTGGTTCCACAGCAGGCCTTAGTGGCCATTCAACTACAACACCACGCAGCGCAAAAAATAAAACCACATCATCACCTCGTTTAAATTTGGCCAAACACAAATATCGTGAGGGAGGGAAGAATACTCAATTTAACACGTAGGATTTTCCAACCAATATTATTCATAATCATTTATTTTGGGTTAGATCGTGTAAATGTGTCGTTAACCCACCACCACCCGACACAGCCAATTAGTAAGGTTTGTCAAGGAAACAAAACAAAAAATGTTGTGCGCTTACTCTCCAACATACCGGTGAACTGAACAGGTAGCAAATTTTCCCGTTTTGTTTACGTGACAAACCTTACTAATTGGCTGTGTTGGGTGGTGGTGGGTTAAATGACACATTTATATTTACATGATCTAACAAAAAAAAAACTTTATTATGAAAGAAACTACGGTATACGGCAGACTTCGCAAGCCAAGACGGCAGACTTCGCAAGCCAAGTCAAGAATCGGTGACACCGTCAGCCCTGCTCCAGATGGAGCACCACTTCTTCACGAGAAGTGTTCGGCCAATTGGTTTTTTACCCTTCTATCTGGCAACAAAACTGACACCTTGTTTTTACAAGGAGTCATGTTTACATAGACCACAATACCTGCAGTCATAATGCAAACAAAAAACATAACTCTGATAATGTGCACTGTCCTTGAAGTTGATTGGTCCACACCCGAGACAGCTTTCCTTAGAGCCTAGTCTCACATGGGTTGGACCAGATGACACCAAAAAGGTGTCAGTTTTGTTGCCAGATAGAAGGGTAAAAAACCAATTATCATATTTTTTACTGGCAAATGAGGTTCCAATGGTGTAAGTGGTCGGCTGTGACATTCAGGAGAGCGACGCCTGTTGGTGGAGATGCTCACCTGACCGCGTGCTCTGTCTGGGGATTTTGGAACTTGTCGCTCGCCTTCTCGAAGAAGCTGCAGATGAGCTGTGAGGAGTGGAGAAGGGCACGCACACAGTAAAAACACAGGATTAACAACAGACCCCCGCCATTTCAGCCGTTCCGGACATCTGCAGCGAGCGCTGTTAGCTAGCGCCTATAAAGGCGAGGCCGGGAGTGGCGCCTGAGTGGGTTTATATCGCAAGCGACTGCGCATAGCGTGACTGACCACCTGTGTATCTCCCCTGCCAAGGTGCGGAAGCCGTGAGGAGGCAATCGTTGTGCACCATGCGGGCACGCAAGGGGAAGTGGCGGCACGGTGCTAAGCGCGCAACGCTTCGAGCCCTCCGTGACCTGACTTCGATTCCCAGCCACGGCTAATGTCAGTGGCGAGTGATAACCGAAACGTTCCTGGCACCCCCTCCCCTTCACCACCATGCACGGAGCAGTGAGAAGAGCATTTGCAAAATAACACTCTTAATTGGCAGGGTGTGGAGAGGCTGCCATAGAGACGAAGGCTCCTTCCTATAGGATGATTAGAATACATGTAGAAAATGTAGGATTCATCATTAATGCCCAAGAGCCACAAACAGACAGAATAAGACCTTATTTGAGATACATAGGAGTCATTATTAATTCCCAAGGCTCACAGAAGCAGACTAAGTCTCCTTTAGGGCTCTTATGCTTCAGCATTAATGCCGGAGGCTCACAGATTCAGTTTAGACAGCGGTTAATCTGAAACGAACCCACAAAGTGCAAAAATCTAAAATCAGTACCAAAAAACTAAATTGCCACAACGGAGGAACACGGTTTCAGTGGGGGTGTCATGCGCTGCAGCAGCAGTGTCATGCGCTGCAGCAGTAGCAGCATCGGTCACAGCAGTAGTGGCATCGTGCACAGCAGCCGCAGTGGCGTCGAGCACAGCAGCAACGTTGTGTGCAGCAGCAGCAGCGGTGTTGTGTGCAGCAGCAGCAGTGGCATCGTGCACAGCAGCAGCAGTGGCGTCGAGCACAGCAGCAGTGTTGTGTGCAGCAGCAGCGGTGTTGTGTGCAGCAGCAGCAGCAGCGGTGTTGTGTGCAGCAGCAGCAGTGGCGTCGAGCACAGCAGCGGTGTTGTGTGCAGCAGCAGCAGTGGCGTCGAGCACAGCAGCAGTGTTGTGTGCAGCAGCAGCGGTGTTGTGTGCAGCAGCAGCAGCAGTGGCGTCGAGCACAGCAGCGGTGTTGTGTGCAGCAGCAGCGGCAGTGTTGTGTGCAGCAGCAGCGGTGTTGTGTGCAGCAGCAGCGGCAGTGTTGTGTGCAGCAGCAGCGGCAGTGTTGTGTGCAGCAGCAGCGGTGTTGTGTGCAGCAGCAGCGGCAGTGTTGTGTGCAGCAGCAGCAGCGGTGTTGTGTGCAGCAGCGGCGGTGTTGTGTGCAGCAGCAGCGGCGTTGTGTGCAGCAGCAGCGGTGTTGTGTGCAGCAGCAGCGGCAGTGTTGTGTGCAGCAGCAGCGGTGTTGTGTGCAGCAGCGGCTGTGTTGTGTGCAGCAGCAGCAGCGGTGTTGTGTGCAGCAGCGGCAGTGTTGTGTGCAGCAGCAGTGGCAGTGTTGTGTGCAGCAGCAGCGGCAGTGTTGTGTGCAGCAGCAGCGGCAGTGTTGTGTGCAGCAGCAGCGGTGTTGTGTGCAGCAGCAGCAGCGGTGTTGTGTGCAGCAGCAGCGGCAGTGTTGTGTGCAGCAGCAGCGGCGGTGTTGTGTGCAGCAGCAGCGGTGTTGTGTGCAGCAGCAGCAGCGGTGTTGTGTGCAGCAGCAGCGGTGTTGTGTGCAGCAGCAGCAGCGGTGTTTTGTGCAGCAGCAGCAGTGGTGTTGTGTGCAGCAGCAGCAGCGGTGTTGTGTGCAGCAGCAGCAGTGTTGTGTGCAGCAGCAGCAGCAGTGTTGTGTGCAGCAGCAGCAGTGTGTGTGTGCAGCAGCAGCAGTGGTGTTGTGTGCAGCAGCAGCAGCGGTGTTGTGTGCAGCAGCAGCAGCGGTGTTGTGTGCAGCAGCAGCAGTGGTGTTGTGTGCAGCAGCAGCGGTGTTGTGTGCAGCAGCAGCAGCGGTGTTGTGTGCAGCAGCAGCAGTGGTGTTGTGTGCAGCAGCAGCAGTGGTGTTGTGTGCAGCAGCAGCAGTGGTGTGTGTGCAGCAGCAGCGGTGTTGTGTGCAGCAGCAGCAGCGTGTTGTGTGCAGCAGCAGCAGCGTGTTGTGTGCAGCAACAGCAGCGGTGTTGTGTGAGCACGCAGCGGTGTTGTGTGCAGCAGCATCAGCTGGTCGAGGCGTGCAGCAGCAGCGGTGTTGCGTGCAGCAGCAGCAGTGGTGTTGTGTGCAGCAGCAGCAGCGGTGTTGTGTGCAGCAGCAGCGGTGTTGTGTGCAGCAGCAGCGGTGTTGTGTGCAGCAGCAGCGGTGTTGCGTGCAGCAGCAGCAGTGGTGTTGCGTGCAGCAGCAGCAGCGGCGTTGTGTGCAGCAGCAGCGGTGTTGTGTGCAGCAGCAGCAGCGGTGTTGTGTGCAGCAGCAGCGGTGTTGTGTGCAGCAGCAGCGGTGTTGTGTGCAGCAGCAGCGGTGTTGCGTGCAGCAGCAGCAGTGGTGTTGCGTGCAGCAGCAGCAGCGGTGTTGTGTGCAGCAGCAGCGGTGTTGTGTGCAGCGGTGTTGTGTGCAGCAGCAGCAGCGGTGTTGTGTGCAGCAGCAGCAGCGGTGTTGTGTGCAGCAGCAGCAGCGGTGTTGTGTGCAGCAGCAGCAGCGGTGTTGTGTGCAGCAGCAGCAGCGGTGTTGTGTGCAGCAGCAGCAGTGGTGTTGTGCGCACAAGCAGCAGCGGTGTTGTGTGCAACAGCAGCAGTGGCGTCGAGCGCAGCAGCAGCGGTGTTATTCGCAGGAGCGGAGGCATTGCGCTGGAGGCACCTGCTCATCGGTGATGCAGAGGAAGCTTTTGACCGTCTCGAGCACGGCGAGACGCGCGCCGTCGGGCGCCCCCTGCGAGGATTCGCCCTCCGTGTAGATGTTGAAGAAGATGGGCAGGAAGTTCTTGGAGAAACGGCCAACCTCTGCTCGCTCGTCGTCTGTGTCGTGTGAGGGGGAGAGGAACCGGGTAAGCACTACAAGCAAGGTAGGGCCATGTGCCACAGCCACGGCTGCCACTGAGCAGAGGTCGCAACCGGGTACCCGATACCCGTACCCTACCCGATACCCGGCTACCCGTACCCGGCCGGGTACAGGTACCCGTTTGCGACCCTGGTGCGGCCACGGGTAGGCCGTGAGTCACTGGTGAGTAACTGTTTGTCACTCATTTCGGGTAGGGTACGGGTAGGGAATGGGAACCCGTACCTGGCTGGGTACGGGTACAAGTACCCATTTGCGACCCTGGTGCGGCCGGGTACGGGTACGGGTAAGGAATCAAAACCCGTTTGCGACCTCTGCCACTGAGGGTCCCCCGTTTCCCCCAACCTCCCCCCCCCCACCCCGTGGCTAGATTTAATCAGGGTGCATCGAGATGTACTGCATGGGAGATGCAGAATAGTAAGCGATGACGATGGAGAAAGAGCTGCAGACCATCCCGTGCATGTTTTCCTCTCCCAATTGTATTCCAATTGTGCAAAAGACAATTTTAAATGATACAGACGTTCATTTGGAATTCGTGCAGAATGCAGTGCATCACACGTGCGTTAAATATAGGGCCCCGAATCGGCCCCTTTGTCCCATGGCGTGACACCAACAGTACAATTGGAATAAAACTAGGAAAAAAAACACGTTTTAAATGTCAAAAAACAAATTTCAGTACACAATCGTTTACGATCAAAACCTGCACCCAGACTGTTCCAATTTAAGCAACCGGATGCATACCATGTGACACTTGTTAAGACAGGGAAGCCGGTCCATCGTGTCCCAGCACAGAGTAAAGTCATGTTGGGGTTAGAGGGGCGCAGGAGGAACCAGGGAGGCGGCAGTAGCAGCAGAGAACCGTGGGAGGGGCGGCAGTAAAACCAGTGTCTCATGGTTTGAGCCCCGTCCCACGTTCCCTACGCACCCCCATCCTGCCTTCAGACTCCCACTTGCATTTGCGGCCACGCATGGAGTGAGACCAGTGTTACATGGTCGCGTGGCGCTAGCCAAGGCGAGGTGGTCTCTGTATAGAGCCACGAGGCCTGTCGGAAGACAGAACACGGTGCTGTCAAAAGCATACCGGCAAAATCCTTCGCGGCGTCCAACGATTCATAGATTAAAATCGATCGTTACGCTTGGGATACACATGTCAGTTTGTACAATTTGAAAGGGGGGCAGGGCAGGAGGTGGGCATAGGCGGTACGCGTCTCACCGGAGGAGCAACCCTTGCCGATGAGCGTGCGCAGCGCCTGGCACACGAGCATGCGCAGGTCCGGACGCTCGGTGAGTGCCGTGCCGAGCACGCGCGCCACGCCACGGAACGCTGGCACCAGGTCCACGGGGTTCGTGAAGAAGCCTGGCAGCAGCGACCACACCTGATCGGCGTCGACGATGACAGCGGCGGAGACACATGGAGAAACGGGACGCATCAAAGTGATGTTAGCACGTGGCTTGAAGATGTTCGCTGCACGGTAACGGTAAAACCTCTGGAAGCCGGACTCGGCTAAGAAGGAATTCGGGGTAAGTTTGGAAATAAACCCGAAGTAAAGAAAAATGATTGAGATGCCACTGCATTTAGACACCGCGTAGATTCGTAACATTGTTTTCTTTAGTGTTGACTAAACACGTGAGATGTTATTATGTGTAAATGTAATTGAAGTTTGGGAATTATTCATTTACTTATCCATCCCCCATAACTGGAGTTGTTTTTTTACTGTACATTCGTTTGAGAAATAGGATCGGAGCGCACACGCAGGTTAGACATGTCCGACTGTTAAGCGGGCATGGGCAGGACTCGTCACTTACAAGGATGATAGCCGACGGTCGAGACCGATGGAGTGGCAGCTCAAGAACCTGAACATGCCCAAGAACAGATGGGAGCGATCATCTCACATATGCAGGTAACTAGATGGATAACTGCATCACAAGACTGAGGGATGTTGACAGAATGAGGACACGTTCATCCAGCAGTGGATTAATAATGGCTGCTGATGTCGATGACGGTGGCATCCATTCGTGTGACGATTCAAAAGCTCTAGCTCACCTGCCACTGGAGTGTATCAAACAGTTTGGCTTGCAAGTTCTTTCCAGCGCTCCTGAGTTCCGAGGCTAGAGCACACACACCAAGTACATAAACAGAATACAAGACACGGCAGCTGAGCATGACCACAACCAATTTTCATCGTCCACAATAAAGCGGACGTGTTGTTATAATCTGGGACGCATGGCGTGGTGGCACGGTGGTGGTTAGCGCGTGATTGGAACAGCACCTGGTTACCAACAGCTTCATTGCATGTTTGTGTTTATATGTTGAACTTCTTTTGCACTGTAAGTAGCCAACCGTGCAAATGGGAGGCGCGGTGAAAGGACAAACTAAACACAAAAAGCAGTTCTAAAGAATTCTAGATTTGAAGCTTTCGTGACTGCAAGGATTCATACTCTTAGGTTTTTTCGGTAAAGTCACGTAGGTAAAAAATTAAAGAAATACCTACGTGACTTTACCGAAAAAACCTAAGAGTACAGTTCTAAAGAAATTAGTTTTCAATCTAGATTTACAAGTGCAAAGCTTCCTAATATATCGGAAGGAAGAGCGTTCCAGATGGCCGCAGAAGCGCATCTGAAAGCGCGATGCGATGACCATCTTCGTGCTCCGGTTTGGTGGGGTGGGGAAGCACGGAATGCGAAACTGTCAGCGCGACCCTCTTGCTCAACAAAGTCACGTGACACTGGAAATCACACGGCAGAAATTGTGGATTCCGTAAACTGGAGCCATGAGCCACTGTTACTCTTACTTCTGAAATGCCGAGGGTCGTGGGCGGCTCCAGTGAGTGCCATGGGTATATAAGTGACAAAGGTCCATGGGTCAGGATGCTTAGGTCAAGAGCCGGGAAGATGAGGCGGAGTGGTCAAGACGCTGGGCGGATGGCTCAAGCGTCAGCTGGTACCTCTGCTCTTGAATGTGGCAGCAAGCGGTAAGAAGTAGGAAGTGAAGAAGTGAATCTCAGTGTTGCGGATGTGGTCTCGCATTACGGGCAGCAGCCACGAGTGTGACAAGTCCGGTGTCTCCCTGCACACGCGCGGACACAGAGGCAACGATTGAATTTTCAGACTATTGGGGGCAAGTGCTGTTAGCGAGCACCTATTTTGGGTGGCTTGGCATGCTATGGCGTGGTCTGGCAGGTGTGACACCAGGATAGAGTGCTAATGTTTTCACACTGTACCAAATCATAATTTAAGGTCAAATTATCCCCGCAGGAGGGCCATGTATTGGTCAAGATGCCGTCCGCCGCTGATGCAAGCCATTGCCTCCAATCAAACCCAGGCTGCCGGGTGTATAGCAGGGCACGGACCACTGCATCACAGCTCTTCACGCACACCCACAGATTGATGTCCGTGTGGCCGTCAGACTCCCCTCTCCCCTAGTTGCCCTACCAGCTCCTTCCCCCTATAGACCCATGATTAAAAAAATTAAAGGCTTCGTAAAATCAGGCACAATCCACTCAGTTTGGAGGCGAGTGCACCCAAGGGATCTTATGAGATATACGGGACACAAAGCACAACCGTAACATTCCGGAGTCCAAGGCAGCATTCTTGCCTACCCACACATTCACAGAGGACTATCGACAAGAGGGACCCCAACTCTCAACCAAAGGTCTCCAAGTAGAGATGCAATTCTAGATTTGAAGCTTTCGTGAATGCAAGGATTCATATTCTTGGGTTATTTCGGTAAAGTCACGTTGGTAAAAAAAATTTTAAGTAAAATAAAATAAAAATCACGACGTTTCGGAGGCAACACAAGCTTCCGTCTTCAGGAGGAACCGTCACAGCACGATAGCTGTATCAAGTAAAAGCGTGTTGTGACGGTTCTACATTTTTTACCTACGTGACTTTACTGGAAAAAACCAAGAATATAGAGATGCAATGAGCATGGATGTTACAGTTCACCGCGCTCGGTTTTAAAAATCGACGGAGAAGCTTACTCGGTGCCCGTGATACCCAGCGGCAGCGCTTGGAGCAGCACGCAGGGACCCATGCTCTCCACCGCCGCCCCGATGGCCTCCTCCAGCTCAGAGACATGAGCAAAGTGTCCGCTGGCACGCAGCTCGCCCAGCGTCACCAGGCACTGCGAGCGTGGACACGGAGAGCGGCGGGGGGGGGAGAGCAGCAGAAAACATCGTGGAGTGTACATCGCAGAAAACATCGTGGAAACTCGAGTGCACATCTCAGGTCCTTCTGCCAGTCATCTCAGTCAGTGAACCCAAGGCGCACCTGGGGTCTGTTCCTCCTGCCAGCGGGCCTTCGACACTTCACGTGGCCTCAAAGTGCACATAGGCTGGCACAAGCACCATGGTATAACATCTCCGTCACTTAGTGGCGAATGACAGTTGTTGTTGTTGTTATTGTACATGTGCATTGCGCACACCTTGCTCATGATGGGGTGGCACTGCTTGCCGAGCACGCGGAAGAACGTCTGAAGCAGCTGCAGCACAAGCTTCCAGGCCCCGTGGTAGCGGTACTTGAGCCCATCCTCCACCGCCCTGTGCCGCCGCCGCCACCGTATACAACAAAAACACGATGCGGAGATATGAGAAATTCGGCACGCGTAACCGACATTTTTAAGACCCTTTCCCAGAAGCAATCAATCACGTCAAACAGGCCAGGACACGTGGTCTGGGTGTTTATCTACACGTATAGAGCTGTGTAAGGAGAATTGGCCAAGCATCCCGATGTAGGAGGACACCTCCTGAACACGAGTCTTGAGAGATTCAGTGAAATAAACAAAACGCAAGTAATTTTTTATTTAACTTTTTGTGTGTTGCTATTGACCCCGACATGACGACACATCCCAAAGTTGTTCCGATCCTTGGCTGCTCAGACCCCTTGATAAACTCATCACAGAGTCAGTGATTGGACAGAAGCACAAATGCAGTCATCACAGCAGCCTCATTACGCAACATCCTTTATGATAATTTTAAAAAGACACTGCGGCGGCATTAAAATAAAAATATACAATCGGTGACATTTCTGGAAATTGGCTCTTCTTCATCACCTTACAATTATAAGACAACTCAATAGTCTCAATCATCATTCGCTTCTAATTTCTCTCAAGAATGTTCTATTGCGTTTATATATAATGTTAGATATGCGTCTATGTTTGAGTATGTATATGTGTATCTGGGCTTGTAGGCATGCCTGTGTGTGTCTGTGTGGGGAGCTGTGGCTCAGCATACTCTTTGGGTCTTTCGGTAAAGTCATGTAAATGGTTTAGCAGTTAGAATGCTCTCGGCCAACATCGGTGATGATCATCTGAACCGGTGCTGGGTCTCTCTGAGGTCGACTCAACCTCAAATGAGGACAGTAAAACCTTGGATTGCGAACATAATTCGTTCCGGAAACGTGTTTGTAGTCCAAAGCACTCGTGTATCAGTTGTGATCACGTGACGCTCGGCAGACAAAGCGTATACACGTACTACTCGTATTGCAAGACCTCGCTCGTTTATCAAATTAATATTTATAAAAAAAATGTGCTCGTCTTGCAAAACACTCGCAGACCAAGTTACTCGCAATCCAAGGTTTTACTGTACCTGGTACACTGTGTAAACATTATAACTGGGAAGACAAAGGCAGCTGGATGTGGTGCTGGCCACCCACCCCTCCATGCACCATGCCGGCCTTCATAGGTGCTTGCTAACAGCACTTGCCCCTAAAGTATGTTAAGGCATTTACTGGGGATATTTGGATATGTCTTGTACATGTGTGCATACACACACATATCTGTGTGAGTGTTTGTGAGCACACGTTGTTCAAACGGCAGGTGTCACTGTGTACGGGTCTTTGTTGAAACATCTCGGGCTATCGTCTCAATAGGGGGAGAGGGGGGAACGCACCTGAACATCTTTAGCACAGGTGTGTTCTGCCCAGGTGCAGCTCCCTTCAGCAGCACGCCCAGGTCCTCGACTTGCGGAGCCACGCACTTCTCCAGCACCGTCTGCAACAATAGAAATAATGGCAGACAATAAGTGATTGTCCATCGAAATACTTAATCGTGGCTTTGGGAGGCTTTCAATTTGCAGTGGATTAACCATAGATGATGATGAGTAAATAACATTCGTCTCCAAGAGCCTCAGGGTCCTGCATTGAAATGTTTATAAAACTTCCTGTAAAATTGTGGTGCAAAAAAAAACGAGTAAAACGTTCTGCCAAAATATACTAATAGGGTTTTTCCCCTTTTTTCTGGCAACAAAACTGACACCTTTTGCAAGGAATCATGCTTACATTAACCACAATACCTGCAGTCAAATGCAAACAAAAAACAATACTCTGATAATTTATGCATTGTCTTTGAAACGGATTGGTCCGCACCAGAGACAGCTTTCTTTGGAGCCTAGTCTCATGTGGTGTTCGACCAGATGACGCCAAAAGGCGCACAGTTCAAAGACAACGCAATACCAGAGTAATGAGAGCTCGGGGTGAGCAGCTACATCATGGGATCTCCTTTGCCAGTACCAAAATAGAGATCCCATGATGTAGCTGCTCACCCCGAGCTCTCATTACTCTGGTATTGCGTTGTCTTTGAACTGTGCGCCTTTTGGCGTCATCTGGTCGAACACCATATGAGACTAGGCTCCAACGAAAGCTGTCTCTGGTGCGGACCAATCAGTTTCAAAGACAATGCATAAATTATCAGAGTATTGTTTTTTGTTTGCATTTGACTGCAGGTATTGTGGTTAATGTAAGCATGATTCCTTGCAAAAGGTGTCAGTTTTGTTGCCAGAAAAAAGGGGAAAAACCCTATTAGTATATTTTGGTACTGGCAAAGGAGATCCCATGATGTAGCTGCTCACCCCGAGCTCTCATTACTCTGGTATTGCGTTGTCTTTGAACTGTGCGCCTTTTGGCGTCATCTGGTCGAACACCATATGAGACTAGGCTCCAAAGAAAGCTGTCTCTGGTGCGGACCAATCAGTTTCAAAGACAATGCATAAATTATCAGAGTATTGTTTTTTGTTTGCATTTGACTGCAGGTATTGTGGTTAATGTAAGCATGATTCCTTGCAAAAGGTGTCAGTTTTGTTGCCAGAAAAAAGGGGAAAAACTCTATTAGTATATTTTGGTACTGGCAAAGGAGATCCCATGATGTAGCTGCTCACCCCGAGCTCTCATTACTCTGGTATTGCGTTGTCTTTGAACTGTGCGCCTTTTGGCGTCATCTGGTCAAACACCATATGAGACTAGGCTCCAAAGAAAGCTGTCTCTGGTGCGGACCAATCAGTTTCAAAGACAATGCATAAATTATCAGAGTACTGTTTTTTGTTTGCATTTGACTGCAGGTATTGTGGTTAATGTAAGCATGATTCCTTGCAAAAGGTGTCAGTTTTGTTGCCAGAAAAAAGGGGAAAAACCCTATTAGTATATTTTGGTACTGGCAAAGGAGATCCCATGATGTAGCTGCTCACCCCGAGCTCTCATTACTCTGGTATTGCGTTGTCTTTGAACTGTGCGCCTTTTGGCGTCATCTGGTCGAACACCATATGAGACTAGGCTCCAAAGAAAGCTGTCTCTGGTGCGGACCAATCAGTTTCAAAGACAATGCATAAATTATCAGAGTATTGTTTTTTGTTTGCATTTGACTGCAGGTATTGTGGTTAATGTAAGCATGATTCCTTGCAAAAGGTGTCAGTTTTGTTGCCAGAAAAAAGGGGAAAAACCCTATTAGTATATTTTGGTACTGGCAAAGGAGATCCCATGACGTTCTGCCAAATTTCACCAGAACTTCAGTAGCAAGTGCTGTTTGCGAGCAACGAGGAAAGGATGATGGCATAGATCCATCACATTGGTTACCATGACCCATGATGATGATGACAAGAAATTTACTGGTGACCGATATACAAAAATTTTTATGACCCAGATTATCAATATAATTAAGATGGGCAATGATGATGCAGATTACATTGATGATTCAGCTTATTACTATGATACACGTGTAGTGACTAACTCCGAGACGATAAGACTTGGAGGCACTTCTTTATTAACAAGCGCCATCGGGGTTAACACGTTTATAAGAAGTCCGCCTATTGCCGGCGAGGCTACTCAGCCAGGAGATTTGGTAGGCTGCCTGACTGGCGGCACCCCGAGATGGTGAAGATGGAGACGACGACGAGAAGGATGAAGAAGACGACGAGAAGAATGGTGAAGACGATGACGAAGACTCCAGCAGCACGACGGAGGTCCCACTCCAACAACAGCCCCGAGGTCCCCTCCAGGGGCCCCTCTTTATACTGTCAGCGTGGCCTGGCTCCGCCCCCGGTCACGCCCCCTTTCTAGAACCTACCAGCGGGTTCCTGGTGTGCCCCCTCTGTGACCTTTGGTGTATCACGTGGCCTGCTGACGTCAGGGCTGCCGTAAGCCGCAGATCCCCTTTCCTGCCAGCAGCCAGCACTATGCGACTACTCTATGCCACCATACATGTGTTGGCAGTGGTGCATACCCCACCACATTCGTCAATAACACTGTGGCCTTAAAAGAAAACATATAAAACAGGTGACATTTCGGGCAATGTCCTACTCAGGGAAATTACCCGAAATGCTGCCTAGTATATATTGTTATTTTAAGACCACTGTTACTGATGAATGTGTTGAGATTTTTACTATGATACAGATGACGACCATGATGTTGACGCTGATAAGATTGGAGATCTGGAGGCGAGGCCAACATACCTTGATAGCCTGGGCAGCTGCCACAGCGACCTCTGACCGGTCAGACAGCATGCAGTTCATGGAGCTGTTGACCAGTCGGGGGAGATGGCTCAGGCACAGGTTGCCATTCAGCCTAAGTAAACGCAAACACGGATGGACATGCGTCAGAGATGCATATGCAGTGAGTTCAACTGCGTCGCAGACGTACTCTTTGGAGGCAACACATTTATTGATACCAACACAAAGGGGTAACTGCCCCATCACCAGATAACAACCTATGGTGGTGGACCACCAGGCTAACCACACTAATAACCTGGGAGTAGCGACAACAGACAGGACCCCAGCTTGGGTCCAGGTCCACGTGTTGGTGACTCTTCATGGACGTCGAAGGTAGAATCTTCAGATGACAGCAGCAACGCTGAACCCCGGTCCCTCTGGGGACCCCGCTTATATCCTCCCTGGTCGTGGCTGGTTCCGGCCTTGGCCACGACCACCTTCTCGAATCCTCTAGCAGGATCTCGCCCCGACACGTGACCATCCCTCGCCCCCCACTTGGGGCCCCTGTGTAGACTTTACCAGTCACGTGTCCTCCAGGGTCAACCAGAGTGCCGTGGCCTAGAGCAGGGGTGGGGAACCTTTTTCTGCCAAGGGCCATTTGGATATTTATAACATCATTCGCGGGCGATACGAAATTATCAACTTAAAAATAAGCCCGTTATATTTGGTCAAACATTTAATTAACTCACCCCTAATGCGATGGCTGGAACTGCTTCTTTGGTGAGGCCTGTAATATTAACTGGTATTGATGATGTTGCTACTCGCAACTGCTTTTCCAGGTTTGTTCCTCGAATTATTGAATTTCAAGTCCCGCCTGCGGTTGCCTTGGCAGGCCCAGACGAAATGATTTTGCGGGCCTTATACGGCCCGCAGGCCGGACGTTCCCCACCCCTGGCCTATAATAACCCCATTCCATGGCTGACACTCACACCCCATCCTCTAGGGGTCGGCACTGCACACCGAGCGTGGTGCCACTCGGCGCTATGACTCAGCGCTCACCGAGCCCCTCTAGGGCCGGCACTACACCCACAAGTACAGGGTGTCCGCGATGCGAGTACATCACACGCCGTGCCTCTCCAGAGCCGGCATTACCCAGCGATATCCCTGATGTCACTACACATACAAAACGCACACAAAGACCGACCGCATAGCCAAACAGAGTGATTGAGGCAGGTGCTGTTGGTGAGCAACTATTATGGGCGGCATGAGGGGGAAGTTTACGTAGCATCACACCCTTTTCCTTCCCAGCATCGATGTTTATACACCGCACCACGTGTTTAATTTCGACCAATTCGACATAAGGGAGGCCAAATCTAACTCAAGTCAAAAGATTAATTGCACAGTGCACTAACCTCTATGCTGCCACTCCCTTAAACACACCACAAACACAACAACCGCCATCCGCGACTAAGTGACAGCGACTTTCATCACAGCACTGGAGCCAGGCCAGGTGCAATTTGAGATTAAATCAAGTGTCCATGGCTCACTGGTGGGAGGGAGGTCATGGGATGGATCCAGGTGTCACGGGTTGACTGTCTGATATTACTGGCAGGCAGATGCATCCCGCCTGTACTCCCGATGGCACCACAAGCACACACATGCGTACATACACGCACGCCGAGTGTGAACAGAGTGGAGTTGCACTCACCGAGCCAGATTGACGTGTGCACTCTCCATCACAGCCAGCCAGGCCAGCATGGGTTGCACGTCGTTCATGCTTGGCAGGTAATCGTACAGAGCCTGTGTTGCAAAAAGAAAAAGAACGCCAAGGGGTGCCCATGGTTAGCATCGTCGAGGCACTCTGTTTTCGTGTTGTTCGGCATGTGTCTGAGGGTTCCCTCCACAGGCTGATGGCTTCTTCAGGAACTGAATTCAGAAAGTTCCCGGCATGTGTAGAGAAAAGTCTCCAGTTCGGTCGCCCGGCGCGGCAGTTGACAAAATGGTGCAAGATTTTGAAATTCCCCCCGGCCGCCTCTGTTCACCCAAAAGTAGAAAAACTATTTTTATTTTAGAGGTAAGGTCCACTGAACCATATAGCTCTTTTTCATAAAGAGCATGGACACAAATGATAGCTCAACAAAGTGGCTTAATGTGGAAATTTATAGCGGCCAAATACTCTAAACGCATGTTTCTAAATGTGGATGGAAAAACCAGAGAACACGGAGAAAAATCCACGCTACCACAGGGAGAACATGCACACTCCAAATATACAGGCATCAGGGTCAGGATTGAACTATGTCAATGGAACAGCATGTTGTGTGTGGTGGGGTAGAGTGTGCGTACCCCCCCCTTCCCAAGAAAACTTGACCTGGACGGAATAGGCACAAATACCGTCTTAAGAGAGGGCCTCTCTAGCACTTCCTCAAGTGGAGACCATTCCGCCAGCAGTCGCGCGAGCACAAGCAAATTGCAGGGGTGCACCTTTACCTATTTTGTTTGTATGGCGTGAGTGTGCAGCGCGAGGAGGTTACCGTGATGAGCTGTGCGTTGAGCTCCGCGGGAAGAGTGTGCTGCTTGGGATGCGCTGCGAACAGCGCGTGCAATGCCTGCATGCCGCGTGCAGTCACCAGCTGCTCACGGCGTACACAACACACGGCACAAATGTACAGACACACGCAAGTAGACGCTTACACTCGTACAAAGGCAAAGACAAATATCCCCCCCTTATAGCCTTAGAAAGACTGTTGGGACAAGTGTAGTTCAAGAGCACATCTGAAGGCAAGCGCGGAACATGAGGGGGAGTTTTGTGGCCTGCACCACTCCCATATGCCTTTGTGTCCCCAGTGCTGATGTTTATACACCACACCAGGAACTCACTTATGGTTAAGTCGACCCAGGGGAAGCCCAGGACCAGTTCAAAGTCACCACTTTTATTGGTCATTAGCAGGACTTGAACTCGGGGCGCCAGGTTCATAACGCAGTACACGCTAACCGCTTCGCCACGGCTCCCCACAATGTGCATACAAAGACACAGATCCCCCGTATAGCCTTAACAGACTGTTGGGGCAAGTGCTGTGAGCGAGTAGCTAACAGCACAGCACACGAGGGGGTGGGTGGCCAGCAGCACGCCCGGCTGCCTTTGTCTCCCTAGTCGCAATTTTTATACACCGCACCAGGTATTCATTTGAGGCTAAGTCGACATAGGGGAGGGCCTAGAACCGGCTCAGATAATCGTCAACGATGTTGGCCGTGAGCGGGAATCGAACTCGGGTTGCCGGGGTTCGTAGCGCAGCGTGCGAATCGCTACACTACCGCTCCCCCAACATACACAAGCACACACACATTATTATATACCATTGTGATGTTCATGGAAATCCTTCATAGTATATCCGATAGCGACTATACATTCCGTGGGCTCCTCCAATCAAATGGGCAGAGCTATTGCATTCAAAAGTTCAAACGCATTTGAAAAGCGTTCATGCAAAAAAAGGACAATGCGGGCTGAGCCACACTTGCCCCGGTTCATGAACTGGGCCGGCTCGCTTCCCAGTGGCCGTGGGAACAGAGCGGTGGCAGGGGCGGTAACGGCAGCGTCGCAAAGCGTCCCACTCACCACGTGGCCCAAGGCAAGCATGCGCAGCACGCTCTCGCAGCACGCCTTGAGGCTCTGCGTGGGCAGGCAGGGCACCACCTCCTTCAGCAGGCCTAGCACGTGAAGCGTGCCTGTCGCGTCGCCCGTCCCTAGCAGGGGTTGAGGCACAAAAAGAGGCAGCGTTCATTTCAAGGTCAACGACTGCAACGAGTGAATGAAGATTGTTAAAAAGACAATGGATGACAACCCCACCCTCCCACCCTATTGCGATGATATGTACGAGTTGGAATGAAGATGCAGACTAAACTAATTTGGTTAAGTTATTAACAGTGATGGGTTTCTCATTCGATATTTTTCGGAACACTGCTAAGCTGGCTTTGAGATTATAATCATCATGAGGCACTACCACTCGATGTAAAAGGTCCACCCTATCCATAGTAAACCGATTTTATTGTATCCTATATATTCATATCATCTCGTGATTCTTCAGTATCTTTAAGACAATCAATACAAGGCTAGATGGATTGTGGTGCTAAAATAATCCACCGAACAGCGTTCCGGAATATTCTGGCTGATATTATGCGGTGGTTATTGGAGAGCAGTGCACCGAGGAAGACAAAAACACAGAAGGCAACCCTCGTCCACACACCGCCGTTCTCCTCGATCTCGCGCACGCAGAACTTGGCGGTGCTTGAAGCGGCTGGGTGGTGAGGAGGAGCTTCGTCTGCGAACATGAACTCCGAGCCCCTGATCACAGCGCTCACAGCCTGCTGGCCAGCCCGCCGCACCTGTGCAAGAGAAGAGGTTACCGTGATGAGAGATATTACGCACCCCATAAGCACACATGTATATACACCCACGTACAAACGGAGATACCCGGACACATAAACACAGTCACAAAGACCCCCCATGTAGCCTTAACAGACTGTAGGGGCAAGTGCTGTTAGCGAGCACCTATTAAGGCCGGAACGGTACACGAGGGGGTGGGTGCCCAGCACCACGCCCGACCGCCTTTGTCTCCCAAGTGGCAATGTTTACACACCACACTAGGTACTAATTTGAGGCTGAGTCGACCTAGGGGAGGCCCGGGACCGGTTCAGATAATCGTCACTGGTGTTAGCCGTGAGCGGGAATCGAACCCGTGTCGCCGGGTTCGTAGCGCAGCGCGCTAACCGCTGCACTACCGCTCCCCACAAACACAGTCACACACACATACACTCGCCTTGGGCTTGGTGTGCGTCGCGAAGCTGAGTAGGGCGTGGAACGTGTTCATAGTGGAGGCATCGGCCCAGACGGCGAGGTCCTGCTTCCTAAGCAGCACGGCCGTGCATGATAAAATCTGAACAAATAAAGAAAATACATATTATTATTCAGAGGTGGAGTGGTCCATAAGAGGTTTTTTTGGGTTAGATCGCGTAAATATACTGCGGTCAAATAACTCGCACGAACCACAGGGTTGGGGAGGCCCTCATCCAACTGAGCAGTGAACACAAATAACGTCTACACATGTACATGACGTAGTGAAGGCCCATGCTAGATGTTTGAGGACCGAGCACTGGAGAGAACGAAGGTGGATGGACTCACCCAGCGGAGCACAGTGCTGGTTGCCGAGTTGGTGTGAGTCGACATGAGGTCGACAAACACCTTGGAGATGTCGGAGAACTTCTTCTTCAGCACCGAGGAAGGGACTCTGCACACACAAACACACGTGGGAAAAGGAGAGATACGTGAAGCTCCACGCTCAATATGAGGTCACGTTGAGGTGGACGGACTATTGCTCAGGGGGGAGCTGATCCTGTGTTGGCACACTGCGCCAGCACAGCTGAGATCCTAGGCTTGAACCGAGTTTCATCTACACCGTGATTAAAATGAGTTAACCTTAGAACCTAGGTTTTCACAGCCACTCGTAATTCATAGCCATGGAGTAGCATTTAATGTGTAAACATTGCACGATGTTGCTGCTGCTGCTCTCAACAGCATCATCATCATCGTTAATCAGCCACTTGGCCGGGTCACTCAAGTGCGAGTAATGGGTTCTCCGCGTCGGCTGCAAAGCTCACCTCTTAATGACCATGTTGAGGAGATAAGCGACAGCTGCCAAGGATTCGTCGCTCTCGATCGTCTCCAGAGCTGTCATCTGGCAATAGAGAAGCATTCGCAGAGAAATAGCTGAAGAGAAGTCTTGCCCGGGATGTGGTCAGGTGCCTCAAGTGCCGTTAATTGCTGTGAATGGGATATTAGATTTAAATCTTAGCATCTGCCTGTGAATAAATGGAGTTTTTAAGTGCAGACAGTAGATGGTCTCTGCCCAGTTCAGAATCTTTACTTACACATGGAATGGAGGAATCCGATGAGCTATAAAGCTCTTTTTCACAGATGTCAAGTCGGGGTGGGTCAGACAATTACAACAAACAATACAAAAATACGAGAGTGCAAAGTATAGGAAAGGTAACCACATCAACGACTGTACAAAATATTAAAATGTAAATATGCTTTTTCAATTCAGGTGAATTATCCCAACTATAAAGACATTATTTAGACCATGAAAGCAGTGGAGTAGATTTCAGGTGTGTAGGGCTGGATGGGGTTAGACAGACACAGGGCGGAAATTTGACAGGAGACCACATTTAATCCCTTGCAACACATTCCTGCGGAGGGAGCTGGTAGGAACGTTGGGTTGCTCGGTCAATGGCCAGGGTCAACGGCGGCGTGATGTATTCCGCAAAATATGCCTGACTGTAAGAGCGGGCACAAGCCGGCGTGAGTAGGTTAAACGTTGAGTTTTATAAGGGCACCACGGGGTGACCAGCCCCTCCCCACCCAGCCCCTCCCCACCCAGCCCCTCCCCACCCAGCCCCTCCCCACCCAGCCCCTCTCTGCACGACGGACGGACACAATAACCCGCTGTGGGCTGGTGTAACCAGGAGGTTCCTACCTGTACGAGCCCATGCCAGACATTATTGGTCAATGGATGAAAGGACAACCCCTTCATGAACATTTTTTGTTAATTGACATGGAGTAAAATATGATTTAAAAAGATCTGAAATAAATCTGGAACTTCATAGTCACAGATTTAACTGCCACCTACACAGTGTTCTATATCTTGTCAAGGCAAAGTACTCACAAATGCCGCAAAATACTCTGTCTCGGTCTCGGTGCCTCCCTTTGCGCGAATCACTTCCGTAACGGCAGCCAACACAGCACAAATCTGGTTTGAAAGAGAAACAAGCAGTGGATTAATCATGGCTAATAATGGTGAAAACCCAGTACTTTTATCACAAGCATCATCTCACTACTGGATGAAGGGCTCCCTCCCCATGGCGTTAACATCCTGCAATGCCACACTCCCATTTTGCTCATGTGGCACATTCTGTTTTCCTTTAGATTCCATTCTGTAAGACATCATCTCTATTCTTGTTCGTCGGTGCAGGGTAAATTCCAAAAGCTTCGCTTACGCTGAGACACTATTTGTTTCAACACCTTATACATCCAAATAATATATAAATGTGCGCGGTCCACATTCGCGCAGCACACTATCACACAGCCGCGACAAGGGCACCTCCTTGTGCGCTGCCGAGCTGGACTGCCAGTAGCGTTGCACGCGGCCAAACGTGGCGTTGGTGATGTCGGAGAGCCCACTCAGGAAGGTGCCGGCCGTCCGCTCGCTGGCGGCATCCTGGGCCGGTCCCACTGTCGGCGTCCGCTCGCTCGCCGGCCCAGCAGACGCCGTGGGGTCGCTCTGAATGTCATCGTGCAAGCGCAGCGAAGCCACGGTGAGGTCGCTCTTGCCTGCGGGCGCACACAACAGCCGAGAGGAACAACAAATATTTAACTTGACACACTCTAGGGGTAAGTGGCGTTAGGAAGCAACTACTAATGCTGATTAGGAGGTGGCAGGGCCCACTGAGATATTGAGTTCGAGTCAGACGTCTATGCTTAAACTGAGTTCTCAAGTGTTGCGAGTTGATGAGATAAGCTCGGTCACTAATTACTGAACAAAAACCCACAAAACTTAATTTGTGCTCAGAACTTAATTTGGCTGTATTCAAGCACGTGGTTACAACTATTGGCTCGACTCCCATGCGACGAACATTAATCTCAATGGGAAGTGCTGCCGCCTTCCGATTGAACGAGAGCTCACGTGAAGGTCTCGTGTCTCAAGAAGTAGCTTTGTGATATCAACTTCTGTGGGTTGTTCTAACACGAAGGGGTTCAACTGCTCAGCGATCGTTTTAAGTAATTATTTTTTTTATCATGAAATTACGCAGATAACACAAAAACGATAACAGTATGAGATGAAAATGTTTATTTTCCTGATACTGTACAAATCATGTTCAAGAATCTCTGGGGGGAATGTGAATCATTATAAACTTTACTTAGCATTTGGCCACATTTTGCCTATAACCACACAATCACAAACATTACTCCTTGAATACCATTTCCAAAAGAGTCCGTTGTTTGATTGGTTTCGTATAAAACCAAAGGAAATATGTACGTTTAATTTTCGATTTAAAGCTTTCGTGACTGCAGGGATTCATCTTCTTGGTTCTTTCGGTAAAGTCACGTAGAAGGGAAGTAATTACTTCTTGGTTCTTTCGGTAAAGTCACGTAGAAGGGAAGTAATTACTTCCCTTCTACGTGACTTTACCGAAAGAACCAAGAAGATGTACGTTTAACTTATTTCGCGCGGTACGTAGCCAAACGTGCTAATCGGATGTGCGGTGAAAAAACTAAGTAAACACAAAAAGCAGTTCCAAAGAAATTCGTTTTCAATATTTCAGAGTACAGTACTTTAATCGCATCTCAAACATTGCGTTCCACTCATCTAGTCGAGACCCCGTGGCAATTGTTTATGCGGCACAAGATCTACATTAATGTACATACATGTAGCCCTTTGCCAATCCACTGTTGGATTAAGGCATCCCAACGCCGCCATATCCATCGTGGGGGTAGTTTGAGCCGTACATCATCACCACGCTGCTCATTGCAGGATTAAGGTGCCCAGGGACCGGTTCAGGCGATCTCTTTCCACTGCGAGCTGCGGCCAGGAACCGCATTCGCGTAGCCGGATTTAGCGACACCGTGCGCGAACGAATACAATGGCTATCGGAAATGTAGAGACTTCAGTACAGATTGGTTCACGTAAATATCAGCACTTAAGTTGGGCTTCATGACCAGCATGTACTACACAAGTATTAGTTACAGGATTAAATAACTTACGTTTTTTAACGTTAGCGGTAAAACAAAACAATTGTATAGACTATTTATAAATCCAACTCGTGTTCCAACAAGACCCAGAGCACGTGTATCAAAAATTAGCCGATGAGGCCTACTCAGATCACACAAATCTTACGCCTTTCCTTGCGAATGCAAGCCCCCCCTACTCTCTTCAAGCCCGTCGGCTTCGTACCTTTGCTGCGACCGTAAAAGCGACTGCGGGCGGCATCGCGGTGTCGGCTCGTGGCGGGGTTGCTACTGCTGCTCTGGCCCTTCTTCCAGCGAGGAAGTTTGCTGCTCACGCCGGCCTTAAGCTTGCCGTGTCTCGCCATGGCTCCACACGTGCGACTTACAGGGAAACCGCGTTTGCGGCAGTAGATGTCGTAGAGAAGAAAATGGGCGTGGTCTAGACGATGGGTTGCTTTACGACAGTCGTGAAGCTTTGCGGCACCACTGTGCCCTATTTTTTAATATTATTATTTAATTCTAGATTTGAAGCTTTCGTGACTGCAAGGATTCATACTCTTTGGTTTTTTCGGTAAAGGCACGTAGGTAAAAATTAAATTAAAATGAATAAATGTAATAATAGAAATAAAATAAAAAATATGATTCTTTTTTTTTCAATAAAATAACAATTATTTTATTTAATTTCTATTATTATTATACTTTTTTACACGCTTTTATTTAACTCACTCTGTTGTTATCGTATCCTCAAATCTTGTAACTCAAATGTAACCCACTTCCCAATGCGGTATCGACTGCAAACTTGGCATACTTATGTCATACTGATGCCAATACTATATTATATAAAAAATATATTTTAAACATTATTTTTATGTTATGTTTCGCCTTGGCTCTAATTGTCCACGCTCAACTGACGTTGGCTGTAATTGACCACGGGGCCACTTCCTGGAGTCGTAGAGTTCTTCCATTACTAGTAGGGTACATTTCATTAAAGCGTGTTTTAAAAAAAGTATTTTTAAATATTACTTTTTTAATTCAGAATCGGAATGTTTATATTGCAGGAGGAATCCGATGAGCTATAAAGCTCTTTTTCACATATCCAGTAGGGGCGGGTCAGTACGCATTCTCGCCATGTGGGTCACGTCGATTGGACCACGAGATAGTAGTGTCGTTTCATTTGCAAGGGGGTGAACTTTGATTTAAACCTTTCGTGACTGCAGGGATTCATATTCTTGGTTCTTTCGGTAAAGTCACGTAGAAGGGAAATAATAAAATAATACAAATGTAAAACAATACACTATGGGAACCTCATTTGCCAGTAAAAATATGATAATTGGTTTTTTACCCTTCTATCTGGCAACAAAACTGACACCTTTTTACAAGGAGTCATGTTTGCATAGACCGCAATACCTGCAGTCATGATACAAACAAAAGAACATAACTATGATACTGTGCACGGTCCTTGAAGTTTATTGGTCCACACCCGAGACAGCTTTCCTTAGAGCCTCGTCTCACATGGGTTGGACCAGATGACGCCAAAAGGCGCACAACTCAAAGACAATGCACCATCAGAGTATGAGAGCTCGGGGCAAGCATCTACACTATGGGAACCTCATTTGCCAGTAAAAATATGATAATTGGTTATTTACCCTGCTATCTGGCAACAAAACTGACACCTTTTTACAAGGAGTCATGTTTGTTTGTATTATGACTGCAGGTATTGCGGTCTATGCAAACATGACTCCTTGTAAAAAAGGTGTCAGTTTTGTTGCCAGATAGAAGGGTAAAAACCCGATTATCATAAAACAATACAATTCTCACTAATTGTTTAATATATTTTTTATTTCCCTCCTACGTGACTTTACCGACAGAACCAAGAATATAGGGTGTGAACTTGTTCGCCAAAATGACAAAAAACTATTATTCGATTTATTTGTTGATTATTTTTTGCGATTGTGGTTTGTGTCAAATAGTTGTGGATCCCCCTCTTTTTTTTCATCCTGATGGATGACGAACGCTTGTGTTGCGATCGAAACGTCGCAGTTTTTTTATATTTTTCTTTTCTTTTAGGGGCCGTCCATAAATGACGTCACGAACCTGGGGGGGGGGGGGTCAGACGTTTGTGACGATGTGTGACGAGGGGGGGGGGGGTTGAGAAATGTGACGTCACATCATAATGCGCAACTTTAAATATATATAGACAACACGTTCTACTTAAGCAAATATACTTTTTAATAAATGTGTTCTCCTACAACATCAGAGTGCAGCGCCACATTAAATACGCACTACAATGACAATAGTTTAACGCGATTTGAAGCATGTTTTATTTTGTGGGGGGGCAGAGCTTTGTGACGTCATATTTGAGGGGGGGTCTGACTTTTTGTGACGCCGTGTGACGAGGGGGGGGGGGTCAAAATCGTCTAAAATCGCGTGTCATTTATGAACGGCCCCTTAACCTATCTACGTGACTTTACCTAAAAAAACAAAGAACACCTCACTTCATGTCACTAGCACTGTATATAACTGACCTTCATTTTGTTCAAATTCACTGCTTTGATACTTTATTCTCTTCTGCTTTCGGTCGCTGGGGTCGAAATAATTTGGAATTCGATACAATATCTGGAAAATCACCGAGAAATGTCTTTTTTTACCATAATGTAGAAGCATAAATTAGACTTACCTTTAGTCTCAAGTGCTGAAGAAATGTATAAAGACACCAAATCCACTTTGTTGCTGCGTAGAATTATTTATTAGATTCACTTTCAATATGAAACGTCAAACTTAAAGCGAATTTGCGAAGAAAAAATATCTCTGCTCGACCTTCTACGTGAGTGTAAAAATCCACCCGCTCATGAATATTCGTGACGGGGGTGCGGCATGCGGAGTGACGTCACGCGCGTTACACACAAACAGACATTCTTGGCTCATTACAATAGTAATTAAACATCGATTTTTTTTCCACCAATCCGTTCGCCAGTATTGTTTCAATAAAACCTTACTGCTGATGGGACAGTGAATATCTAAACCAGGCCAAATGGAATTGACTAGCATTGAACTGGTTACACTATGCACTCTCAAGGAAGCCGTGTGTGGGATTTGTAAAATAAAAAAGTGTATATGTTTTATGTGGAGGGACATTTAAGAGGCGTATTGCCTGCTTATTGCTTTTGTGACACCAGTTAGCAGAGGATAAACTACACTTTTTATTTTACCAGGTAAGACCCACTTGAGCTATACAGCTATTTTTCAAAAAGCGACCTGGCCACAAGTGATAGCGCAACGAAGTGGCTCATCGTGTGGAAAAATGTATAGCAGCTAAATACTCCAAACGCATATTTCTAAATGTGGAAAAACCAGAGGACCCGGAAAAAAATCCACTCGACCACGGGGAGAACACGCAAACTCCAAAGATACAATCGGAGTCAGGGTCGGGATCGAGCCCACGTCCTCCTGCAACCAGGCAGACATGGTGAGCCAATCAGCGAGGCTGTAGATTTCAACAGTGGACACGTCTGCCATGCCATACGCATGGCTCTCTCGTATCGATTGCACTGATGTCCACGTCGGCGTAGGTACATGGGTGGTCCAGATGTCTTGGCACCCCCATTTAATGATCTAAAACATACTATATTTGTAAGGTTTATTTAAAACCAAAATGAATATGTAAAGAATAAAAACTATTAGCGGTCAATTAATTGCGGGGTCACAAGACATCTGGACCACCCTAGACATTCTCGCTTAAGTCTATGATCACTGTTACATTGCTTTCATGGCTTTATTTTGGTGATTTCGAAAAGTTTTTCGGTTTGGCCATGTTTGTTTGTTGTAGTACAGAGTTAGACTGATGGCCTTAATCTAAGTTGTCTTGTGGTTGTTGTTGTTGTTTGACTAGCATCCCACTGGTATTTTTGCACAGGGTTGGTGTACGGTGATTTTTTTTTCTGCAATATTTTGCTGTCTTTTCTTGGATTTTCTGTTTGCACTTAGTCACATATTAACTTTACGATGTTTTTTGTTCATGTTTTTTGTTTGTTGCGGTTGCACCCGATTCAAGAGCCGAATGGCTCACAGGGCTATACCTAATAAATGAACTTGAACTTGACAAAGGAGTTTACATATCAACAGATAAATGTAGCATGTTGATGACAAATGCAGATACGTGACTTTACCGAAAGAACCAAGAATATGAATCCCTGCAGTCACGAAAGCTTTAAATCGAAAAATGGTTACGTTCCTTAAATCCCCCACCACCCTGTCCACTTAGGAGTATAAATGGTGCACATCACAGTCAAACGGCAGGTTGCGTGTGGGGTAAAGTGTGGGTACTCTCACCTCTTACAAAATGTCTGGTCATAGTGGAAGAGTTAGCCATATACCCTCTAATGGAGGCCCTTCTGACAGCAGTGGCATGAACAAAGGCTACACCTTTACCTTTTAACGGACATGCCTGATGATGATATGACGATGATAAGGTGGAGCACAAATATGCTCCACATTATCATAAACTCGCCCTGATCGACATGGCGATGTATGGTCTAATAACCCCTACAACCAACACGACATGGGGAGGGGGGGGGGTCCCTGATCCACTTATGGACTGAGAAAACGTAAGTTCAGTAAAGTTTAGGTGAACATATTCATATTATCTGCTGTTACCTGCGATTTTACCCATAATACGGAGCGAAGCAGCTTCCTAATAGTCGCAATTTTTCTGTAGAAAACAGGAATCGTGATTGAGTAAAATCGCAGATAACCCCACTGATCAATCTTCTCTACAAGTCACCGTGTCTCCCTGTCGATATGAACATCGGGCAGTGCTCATCTCTGTTGGCATCCCTGGACCTGTGGGTAGAAATTCCACATTACTCTAACGGGGTTGGGATATGGGGTGGAGCAGTGCCGCACTGGTTAGTGGCACTGCACTTTGTGAACCTCGCGACCCGAGTTCGATACTTGTCCGCGGTTAACATCAGTGATGAGTGATATTTCAACGTGTCCATGGCTTCCCCTCTACCTTCACCAAACCGCACTGACCAGAGTAGTCAAGTCTTGCCATAACAAAATAAATGAAAACAACTAAATTAAATCACGACGTTTCGGAAGCAACACAAGCATCCGTAATCAGGTATGACCGCCCCAGCAAAATCACTGCAACTGGGGCGGTCATACCTGATGACGGATGCTTGTGTTGCTTCCGAAACGTCGTGATTTAATTTAGTTGTTTTACTTTATTTTATTTTATCTTTTACCTACGTGACTTTACCGAAAAAACCAAAGAGTATTAATCCTTGCAGTCACGAAAGCTTCAAATCTAGAATTATTGCCAAACAGCCCCCATGACTGATAGAGGATAGAGTGTAGGCAGGGCCTTCAACCAGCAGTGGATAGATAAGTGCTGTAAATGATTACTGGGATCAGTCCCTTCAAAGAATGACTGCTGCTGACTCCCCACAAGATGACAGAAGACCAGTGTGACTCGTGCATAGGAAACATTTGCAGACACACCTGTGTATAGAGGATGTGGTTCATTTCAAATGTTTATTTTGTCATTTATTTTAATGGGATAACATAGCAGTACCACACGCAATATAGGTTTTTTTTTAAACACGGAAAGTCTAGTTGTCTCATAAAACTGTGAGAGGTGTGCATGGCAAACGTATTTTTTATGACGCAATAACCATATGGGTATAAAAAAACGACAAGAACAAAAACGTTTGAGAATTTCTTCATGACGTCTTAAAGGATGTGCTTCAAATCTCCATGTCAAATGAATAGTCCTACAAGCCATTTATTGGTTAGTAAAGCATTTGTGCAGTGATTCCAGGCACTTTTAAACCGACACAGTACTCTCCAAAATAATTAAAATCCTCTCGTCTGTACATTCCGTCAAACAACCTTACATATATACCGTCCACATTGAGATTCTCAAATCTCCGTCTACGCCTTTAACAGACCCCCTTCTCGTACTTCAAATACACCTTCTTAAAAAAAAACCCTCTTAAAGCTTGCAAGATATCGTCTCGAGAACTGCAATTGTTAGTCAACTCATAATTATGGGAAGAAAATAACCCCAAAGAGTGATGCTCTGTGCAAACCCCGTGCGTGCATATGCACAATGTCCGGTGTGTATGGCCACCATCATTGCAGTTCTTCTGTTTTAGCTTCCCCAAATTTTATACCCAATCACACGGACTGATTTTTGTTAAATCCTTTATATTAAGTTCGCTTGCTTGCTTGCTTGCGTGCTTGCGTGCTTGCTTGCTTGCTTACGACCGTGCAAATCTTTCGCTCGTTTTTTAACCCACTTCCCGTGATCCAATCGAGCTGACATTTTGCACACAGACTCGTTGTGCGAGACAATTAATGTTCGTGAAAAAAAATTTTCCCAAAATTTTACACTGTTTAGGGAAAACAAATTAAATATTTAATTACCAATTGCTTAATACTGGCAGACAATCATCTGACCCATAGGTGGCAGCCATCTCAAGCCAGAGGACGATAGGACTCTAGCCGCCACGCATATAAAGGATTTATAGTGAAAAACTTTGTTTTTACGGGTTATACTTATTATCAGCTCCACAGGATATACAGGGTAATGTGCCACAGGTGGCTCCGTAGAGTGCATCACGATTGGAAGGTTGCGAGTTTTAAACCCAGTTGAGTAACACCTCAACCTTTACAGAGTTAATATCAGTCGCATTTTGTAAAGCTAAGAATACAGTACTGGAATTCAACAAATGACCCAGGAAAGCCTCGTGGAGTCTCAAGGCTTTCTTTCTTGATAGTCTTACATTGGGATGTACTGTATGGCCAATTCCATTGCTGTATGTGGGGTTCTTTTTAACATATGGGACACTGCGGAACCTGAAGAATTGCCATCCTGCCATCTCACCACCTTGCAGACCAAGTCTATAAAACTAAACTTTTTTTTTATTTTACCAGGAAAGACCCACTGAGCTATATAGCTCTTTTTCAGAAGCGACCTGGCCACAAATAATGGCTCAACAAAGTGGCTTATCACGTGGAAAATTATAGCAGTAAAATACTCTAAACACATGTTTCTTAATATGGAGGGAAAAACTGGAGGACCCGGAGAAAAATCCATGTGACAACGGTGAGAACATTCAAACTCCAAATATTCAGGTGCCAGGGTCGGCTTCGAACCCACGACCTCCTGTTTCCCAGGCCAATGTAGTTAACATCTCCTAGCCACCGTGAACCCTGGACAGTCCCTGGAGAAACTGCTCACAGTCATGGGAATGTGAAATATGCTTCACAGACTCAGGCTTGCTAATGGAGGAAAGTACTCTCCATTACACGTTTGAGCATGGAAAATTTTCAATTTTGTAAAGGATGTCAGCTTGCATTATAGCATTATTTAAGTTATGCACAATTATAGAAATACTTTAGTGTCATACTTTTTTCCAGTTGTAGCTCGCTCTCCTTGCAAATTTGTATTTTTCTGATACTGCTAGGAACATAACACATTCCCTTAAGCTAATGCGACTTCAGCACACTTCCCATTACCTTCTCGTATAATCATCACAAACATCAACAAAAGGTTAAACACCAAATATGTATGTAGCCAACCGTGCTAACCAGTTATTTAATTGGCTTTTGCTGTAAAAAAATGCTCCTAACGGCAGGCCAAAGCTTGTATTCAAACACTCATAATTTGCATTCAAAGACTCCTAATTTTTTATGCCGTTAGTCCCTGAGAGACCACACTGAGGGTCGAGATTTGGCGAATGCATCATTACTCGTGTTATAACCACTCCAGCACAAAACACCGTTGCGAACCCCTTTTAAACCTTGGCTGAAAATACTTTTACAACACACATCATGACCACTGAATTCGGATGGCAAAGAAAACAAACTGCTAGATATTCCAAGAAAGGATGCGTCGATTCGTGTGATAAAATTTACCTTTGGCGCGTATGCCAAATTATCCAAGTTGTGCATGTGAGAATCGATTATTTTAAACGTCTATGAAGTTTGCTTGATCCATATACGCGTGGGCTGCACCAATGATAATGCAACTGTAGGAGTTGATTGAACTGCTAAATGGGGATGAAGCTGAAAACAAATAAAGTACACGTGCAAGATTGAAGAAGAGAGGGAATGAACCGTTCTAGGGACACAACTGGAGAACACAATACAATACAGTACCACCCCATGGGACTTTTAAACAATTAAATCTTGGTGAATTGTAAGTACACAATGAATCAATAATATTGTCTTATGGTAACATGATTCATCACAATGACGTGGCTAGTTGCATACCGGTTACACCTTATCCACTATAAGATTCATAAACAGGACTGATGTCACACGCCAAGCTATTGGAAATGCTCGTGGATAAGCACAATCAGGAATTATAATTAAAATTTGTAGAATTATTGGGTCAAAAGGTTTTGTTCATGAATATATCTCTCCGTTTACATAAACTGAGATTGGTGGAGCTACGGTTATTTTTTACAGACAAAAACACATACAAATGTACATGTGTTCTGATTTAAAGCTTTCGTGACTGCAGGGATTCATATTCTTGGTTCTTTCGGTAAAGTCACGTAGAAGGGAAACAATAAAATAATAAATTATAAAACTATACAATTCTCACGACGTTTCGACTGCAACACAAGCAATCATCATTATATTTTTATTTTATTGTTTCCCTTCTACGTGACATTACAGAAAGAACCAAGAATATGTACATGTGTTCGTCAATGTTTTGAGAAATATATCATTGTAACCTGGTTCTAATCGACTACTTTATGAAAACGGGTCGCACCAAATCGGTACATTTTCCTGTGTGGAAAAGTGGTTCGTCATTTGCTAATGACACAGCTGGAGTCCTCTGAGCCTGTGCTAATACACCGCTGCACGAGGACTACCTTAGATTTCACTTCAACCAATCTATTATCTATCACAACACTTACACCTTGTCATCCACCATGCCAGTTTCATGGTCAAGGGTATAGACACGATTGAAATAAATGTCAAAATTGCATCACAACCAATACCATGGATGCCACATACCACCGTCACTTCTGCCCAAATTGGCAGCTATTGCAGAATCGACAGCCAGCACCTCAAGGTCTTTCTCTGTGAAGATTTGGGGTTGGGAATTGATTCAACAGTAACTCTTTTTCATCGAATTTTCAGTCTAATTTGTATTTTTAGTTTTTTCTCCCTCTCGTTTGTACAGCTGTTTGCTTACCGGCTTAAATCGAACATGAGCACGTCATTTGTATATACTTTGCACAATCATAAATAATCGATTCTGATACATAAGATTCGATACATACATTTGTGAGCATAAATATTTGCATACAATTGACGTGTCGTTAAATACCCAATATAATGGTCAAGAGGTTTATAATCTCAGCTTTTCGCTTTTTTTAATGTTAATTTGAGATGTGTGTTTGACCTTTACACAACAAATCTGCTCTTGGATTACTTGGTAAGACACCCATTTGGTTTACACAGAAAGTTGAGACCTCAGGGACCACACACAAGTCCGTCTGCTTGTGTGCACCGATTGCTGATGGTGAATTTTGAAATGGGTGGTTGCACTTTTAAATCCAAATTGAATACTCAATTCTTTAAAACAGCTTTTGTGTTTCGTTGTATGTCCTTCCCCCGCCCCTCCGATGAGCACGGTTGGCTACGTACGGTGTGAAGAGATTCAACATACGACTGTGCGTTTGTCTATTCCACGTGGAGTTGACCACCCTCCCATGTGACGAGACCCTATTTTTTTAAATAACATTACTTCCCTGCAAGCGTCACCAACCTCACCGAGCCACCAGTTCTCTCATTAACAGACTTTTTTCGGGGGCTATTTGGTGTCCAGCAGAGGGCAGTGCTGCAAACTCCACTTGTGCTGTGCGTGTGTCTATACCGGGATTCCCTCGTTATTGACCAACTCGCTATGCGCAATTTCGGCTATCCGCGAATCGCATCTGGAACTCGACACGACCACATCGAGAGAGATAAATAAAGTGATGAGATTTAAAGTAAGTTCAATCATGAACTATTATTTAATGCTTCAAAACATGATTTTTTGTTTTGTTACTTTATATTTCTTGTAGCCAATTTTTTCTTTTTTGTGTTATTATAATGTTCATGTATTTACATTTTTTAAATGTATTTATGTAAGGTAATTCGTTAAATATTTGCTAGTCACGAACATCTCCAGAACGTATCCCTCGTGAATAACGAGGGAATACTGTACCGTACTCATTCTCACGTCTATGGTCCCCAACCTTCACCAACCCGCACTGACCAGCGAGGTCAAGTATGGTCACCCAAACGCCACGACCAGCACGGAGTGTGGAGACCTTCACCCAGTCGTGGATTAACAAAGTGCCGTACATGTATTACAATTAGGAATACATAAACAGGTAGGAAAGGGTTTTATTTAATGGAAATAATTAACATTTAATATATCGACCAACCAGCCAACCAACCAAATCAAATGTATTCCAGTAATATGTTTTTAAACAAGCTGGGCTGATTTCAAATTCGGTAAGTCCGATAACCGGGGAGTGTCCTATCCAGTTGGTGACTTTGTGTTTGGGGCAAAAGACATTTAAAAATATGGGGGCGGTCCAAAATGTAATCTCAACCAAGCCTAATTTCTGTTACCCACAATTCACCAAAGCAACACATCATAGTTCTAAACCAGTTGTTCAGCTTGTGTGAAAAGAACAATCGGTGATGAAAATATAAATATGCAAGCTCTGCGTATACATTTCCACATTACCACAGTCAGCAGCAGAAGATTGGTGGGAAAGTGGATATTTTATAACACCCCTCCAAAAATAGTGCATGCCAAAATGTACCTTCTGCAGCTGCAATTATGTACAAGTACATAATGCTAATTATCGAACAAACCATATTTAAAAATTGGTGTGTACCAAATACTAGTTTTATTCAAAGGCCGAAGAGCTGGCTAATTTTACGTTTTGTCTGATTCCTTTATTCGTACTACGCAGAGAGCAAGACAGTGCCTGTTATGGGATCATCATTCAGTCAATAGTGGCACACGTCACACGGTGGAAACACCTGGAAGCGATACCGCACACCTTCAAATATCATTGTCATTAACCACTAGGAGGCGCTGCTTTCATTCATGCAAGCGAGTGTGTTTCACTCTAAGTAGGCTGCAAGAGCAGAGCTCATTAAATAACTGTGCAAGTGCAAAACCAAAATTCTATGCTTTTTTATACTTTACTGTGAAGTCACAGGTCACCGTGCCGAGTCACCATATGAACTTCGCCCCATGAAGTTAGTTTACTCAGGCTTCAAACACCAGTCATCAAGCGACACTGGTTCACTAGACACAGCAGAGCATTAACTCCACGCACAGAAGCCATTGGGTGACCTCATTTCTAGGAACTCATAAAAAATTAATTACCCCTGAAGGCAGTAAACGGACGCAGGTCCATGAAAGGACTCAATTGGCAACCCCCGGCCTCCACACTTGGGCTTGTGCCCTGTTCTTCTTGGCTGAGAATGACGGTCGAGGCGTGGCCACAAGAAGTGTAGCCTGGGTGCCCGGTCTTCCCAGCGACACTTGTGGGGGCTCGGCTGGGAGCGGGGTAAGCTGAGTACCAAACCCGGTGGGTCCCGCATTGTCGCCCGCGTGGCCTGGGTATGGAGGTGGCTGGTGTCCGCCCGGGTAGGCGGGCGCCAGGCCAGTGGGGGGCGGCTGCTGCCAGGCATTGACAGCCGGGATGGAGGGCACTCCGCTGGCTGCCGATCTGACCTCCATCTGGATGTGTGAAGTGACGCGGTGCTGGTGAGGAGATGGAGGCGTTGTCAACTGAGAGTCATCCCCGGACGCATAATTAGTTGGCGGCACAGGGCCATTGAGCAGGGATGGCGCTGATACCAAGGGCTGAGGCCTAGCGCTAATTTGGGGCGACGACATCGCTTCCGCAGACGTAGAAATGCCGTTCATTTGCTGCGGCAAGACTGTGGCAAACGACTTGGTTGGCTGTTGCTGTTGAGTTTGCTGCTGAGCCGGCTTCTCCACACTCCTGACCTCCATCTGCAGCTGGGTCGTGACCATGGCTGATGCCTGATTCTGTGCAGCCAAGTGCGACCGCGTCGCCTCGCTCGCCTGCGCCGCGGTTGGAGGTGGCGCGTTCCTCGGTAGCGACTGAGCCTGTCGACCCGAGCCGCCTGCTGGCGCCGCCGCCGGTGTGGGCGGCGAGAATGAAAACATGGCCGAGTTGAGCTGGTAGGGCTGATGCTTCATTACGTCCAGACTCTCCATCCTGGGCTTAGGTTTCCCCTTGGTCTTGGCCGCCGCCGGAGACTTGGGCGAGTTCTGCGTCGCATGCCCCTTGGCCGCCGCGAGTGGGTAGAAGGGTGAGAGTATGGGGTTGAAGCCGATGGGGGGCGGCGCACGAATCTGAGAAGAGTACTTCCAGGAGGATGGCAGGGATGGCGTCGGAGATGGGCCGCGCATTTCCTCCGCTGGAGACAATGTCCCATCCACGATGTACTTCTCCATGCGGCTCTGCCTCTTGGCGAAGAGCTGTGCACCCTTGCCCTTCATCTGTGACATGTCGCTGGCGAGGACAGCTGCCGCCGACTGCGCGGCCTTCTTGCGGGCGGCCACCGCGTTGTTCTCTGGTGAGTAGACGATCCGCGCGCCCTCCGCCGTTGGCTGTGCTAGTGTTGCCTTTATCTCCTGCTGCTGTTGCTGCTGCTGTGGCTGCTGCGGTAGGTCATTGCTGACAGTATCAGATGCCCGGTACGAGGGGAGTGGATCGGACCTGGTGCCCGCTTGTGCCTGATGACTCCAAGAAGGTGCCTGGTTGGCCAACTGCGTGTATGCCTCGTAGCCCTGCACCTTTGCCATTGGCTTCGGCGCAACGGGTGGCGGGGACTTGAAGCCTTGCGCCTGTGCCTGCGTTTGCCAGAAGTTGGACGCCTCCGCCCCAAGGCCAAGGGAGTCCTCCTCGAGCCCCACCTCGAATTGGCCCTCCGGCTTGGTTTTGTCATCCAGGTTTTGCACGAGGGACAAGAGGTCAGGGTTGGGCGAGTTCTTTGGCGGTTCCTTGAAGGTGAACATGGCCTTGTTGCCCTGGTTGCGCTTCTTGGCCTCGGCCAGGATGCCGGACCTTGCCGCGGGGATGGAAATGCGCTGCTCCCTGGATGACATCTGCTCAACTGGGGGCTCCGGTGACCAGATCGCAGAGCCACGGTCCCTGTCGGTCGACGTCGACGCCGTGTCGGTGCCGAGCCCATTGAAGATGGCGGCGGCGGCGTCTCCACTCTGTTCCTGCTCCGTGGGCTGAGCGAACAGGGGCGGAGGAAGGATAACGCTCAACACTGGGGTCTGCTGCTGCTGCTGTTGCTGTTGCTGCGGCTGCGGCAGCGGCGTCACGGGCGTGGGCGGCGGCGCCTGGCTGTGCTGCTGCGTGCTTGCGAACCCCGCGGGCTGTGCGTAGGCGGGCGGGGGAGGCACGATGTTTGTCGATCCTGCGAACGCAGATTGGGAAGTGACCGGCTGGTAAGCTGGGGGATCACCTGTGCCGAGAGAAGGATTATTTGCGAACACAGGCTGCGATACTTGTGGACTGGCGGGGGAGAGGTAGCTGTTGGAGGGGCCGCCCTCCTTCGACTGCTCGGCATCAGGGCAACTCCATGTAGATACCGGTGCCGGATTGGCAACGGGCGATGCCTCTGCGTAAGACCCTGCTGCTGCTGCCACACGACTACCATGCTGATCTGCGTTGACCCCGCGCTGAGGACTTTGTGCCGAGACGTAGTTTATGTTCACCGAGGGCCTCTGCCTCGGTGCGACGACGGCTGGGGAGGCCACCGGAGTTACCGCAGGGGTGACTGTGGCCTGAGCGCTCACTGCGGGGTGCACATTCACTTGAGCGACGCATGGAATCTCCGGTGCCTGACCCTGCCGCTCTGGAGGATTAGCCCTCAGTGGGAGTTCATTTCCAGCAACCTGGTTGAATTGTGCGGTCATCTTGGGAGCGGGCTGCGCGGCAAACGGCGTTGCTGCACGGTTCTCGATTGGACCTGCGGGCGTGAACGGACGGGCGGTGCGGTTCACGACATTGGCCACCTGCTTGGTCTTGACCACCATCTGCTGCTTGTGCTGCTGTTGCTGCTCCTGTTGGAAGCTGTTCACCTTTACAGATGAACTCATCATCTCCTGCGCCATGCTCGTTTGGGCCACCGAGCTGCTGTTAACGGTGATCTGCTGGAATGCCGTCACTCCGTTGCCAACACCGGGGTTGCCGGCGCTCGGATGAACTTGATGAGCAGGCGGGACCTGCATCATGGGCTGCACGAAAGCGCACGAATTTTGCGGTGCGGCGTTATGCAGCTGAACGCCGAGTGGCGGCCCCTGTTGGGAAGAGCGAGGTTGCTGCGCCTCCCCGCATGCTGGGCGCTCGAAGAATTTGTCCCTCGCCTCATGCGGCTCCGGGCCCGACCACGGGGCCGGCAGGTCCTCCGTGCCGAGGAAGACCCACTCATCAGGTGCGTCCCCGTTCACGGCCGGCTCCACGCCGGCGTTCCTCTGCCGCTTCTTGAACATCTCGGCCCCCCTGCCGGTGAGGCCATCGATCGTGCCCAGCTGGGCGACGGCGGAGGCGGCCGCGGCGCGCGCTCGCTCGGCCTCCATCTCCTGCTCGAGGTCGGTGAAGGCGCTGTCCTCGTCGAGGTCGGACTCGCTCGTGTACGGCGCCGCGTCCGTGTCAAGACCAGCGTCCGTGTCGACGCCGCCGTCCGTGTCGTCGCCCTCGCCAAAGCTGACGAGCGTGTAATGCTTAGCGCGCCGCCGCCGCTTCTTGAACATAAGCACCCCCCGCGAGTGGGGGTCCGGCGCTTCGGTGAGCAGCGACGCGATAGTCCGGCACTTGGTCTTGGCCTCCTTCACCTGGCGATCGGACGAGCTCTCGCCGCGATGTAGCCCTGGAAAAGAGAGACGAGGCGGGATGGAGTGAGCCAAAGACAAAGGTGCCCTACACAGCCTACACAAGTGGTTGGGGCAAGAGCTGTTAAAGAAGCACCAATGAAGGCTGGCACGGTGCACGAAAGGGTATGGGCAGCATCACACCAGGTCGCCTATGTCTTCCGAGTGCTGATATTTAGACACACTGCACCAGGTACTCATTTAAGGCCAAGCTAACTTAGGGAAGGGACAGATAATTACCACTGATGGTAACTGCCGGGTTCATGAAACAACACGCTTGCCACTATGCCACCAATCTCTGGAACAGGAGGAGGCACTGGATTGCTTGGCAGTCATATCAGTGCTGGTTTTGCACGATGGGTCATGCTATTTCTGCTCTGCAGATGGGCAATGGTCCATCTTCGGAGTGTTATTCATCTAAACGACCGTGGACTCGTTGTTGGCTGAGTCGACACAAAGCCGGGATTTTAACTCTCAACCTTGCAACTTGTCAGTGGAGCGCTCTGCCAAACAGCGCAGCACTCAGACGCAAAATATTTTACTTGCAGCGTTTATGACGACAGCGGCGAAGTTCTTTCCACCAGTGCTTGTGCACTTCTGCCAACACGGGCTTTTAGGTTTGTTTGAAATTGAGCACAAGAGGCCAGCCAAGAGGCAGAGAGAGTGGGAGAGAGACGAGGACACTAAACATAGCCCGTGTGGCTAGTGACGCAACGCAGACGCGTTGTGGCGTGATCGTGAAAGCCTCTCTGGCTCTGTGGCTGTGGCCCCGTGTGGTTGAAATGAAGTCGTGATGCCACCTGTTGCCGAGTGGTTTTTAGCATGGGGCCTCTCGCTACGACCCCTGGGAGGGTGGCTTTTAGCGGGGAAGTTATGGGTTCGGCGATGAGGCTTCAATTTGGGAGGATAATATACACGTACGAAAGGCAAAGATGTTTTTCTCCATTAAGCTTTAAAGAATGCTAGGAAACAAGTGATATTTGCCAGCACCTTTTTCATTATTAAGTGCAAATACATATTTATTTACGAACACTCTTCAATATATTTCGATTTAAAGCTTTCGTGACTGCAGAGATTAATCTTCTTGGTTCTTTCGGTAAAGTCACGTAGAATGGAAATAATAAAATAATAAAATAAAACATAATGAAATAATTCTCACGACGTTTCGGCCACAACGCAAGCAGCTGTCCTCAGGTGAAGACTCCCCGACAGACCTGTTCTTCAAGAAGACTCTTCAATATAGTTTGTGTATATCATACTTGTGGACAATAAGCAATAAGCCCATCCAAAGCTGTGAAAAATTTGACACAATCTAATCTAAATAGTTAATACACAAGCATTACTGAAATGCGGCAATACTAGGATTGTAAAGACATTTACTGAAATATTTAAGTTGGTTAACCCCAAGCAGTCTATAACAAACATTCGGTTTTTCTCAAAAGTCTCTGATCAACTTAACAATGTTACTGACTTTCGATTTAAAGCTTTCGTGACTGCAGGGATTCATCTTCTTGGTTCTTTCGGTAAAGTCACGTAGAATTGAAATAATAAAATGATAAAAATAAAACATAATAAAATAATTCTCACGACGTTTCGGCCACAACGCAAGTAGCCATCCTCAGGTGAAGAACAGATCTGTCAGAAAACAGACTCTGTCTCCTCGACAGACCTGTTCTCCACCTGCGTTGTGGCCGAAACGTCGTGAGAAATATTTTATTATGTTTTATTTTTATCATTTTATTATTTCAATTCTACGTGACTTTACCGAAAGAACCAAGAAAATGTTACTGACCTAAAACCTTTTCATTGACCTATGACCCTTCTGACTCCAATGAGACAACACATGTCAACACTCAGGTCTGTGGTAGTGGAATCCTGTAAACAGATATACAAGCACGTGCTTTACACACTTGTGTCCACGAACCAATCTTCTAGTTACGCGCTTGCTAATGGCCTGCATGGTCCTGTGCCAGAGCACTCGCAATCCGAAGCTTGGGAGAAGACATTGTGCCTTTGCAGTTGATCAAATGGATACCACTTTGTGGAAGAGTCAAACAACGGTTGTCTTCTGGAAGAACTTGGCCTCCGACATAGGAATGTGGGATTTTCACCACTGACATCGCACTGCCCAACGTTCATTTGACCAGGGAGACAAATCAATGACTAAACGATTTATGGTGACCGACTTCACTGCCGGAATCTTCCAAATTACAATACAGTACAATTACAATGAAATGTAGGTGACCTAAAAGTTTGATTTCCACTGACATCAGTGACATCAATCGCAATTACTGAAACAACGGGAGCCTTTCAATGACAGAACCAGGATTTTCAGGTTGGGGGGCAACCCCTCCAGCATTGGAAAATGATAGAGGAATTGTTAGTACGTAAGGACTTGTCCCTTGCTGTTTATTCAACGCGTGTGCGGCGATTGCGCAGCCATTGATCGAGGGTCGAATTCGAACCGTGTGTGATCGGCATCGCGCTCGCTGAAGTTGAATGCCTTCAGGGAAGTCGTGTACTGTATACGCAACTGGGCACAATTCTGAGTCACTTATAACTGCTGTGCCGTTACTTATTGCCAATTATGGACTCAGACTATTGTCCAATCATCTCATAGAGTCCCTGGCACGTAATAATATGCTACACAGTGGCAGAGGGGGTCGCAAAATGCTGATTTATTAGGGATTTCGATCGGATCATTGGGGGGGCACGTGCCCCCCCCCCCCCCCCCCCCCACTGGCTCTGCTAGTGGAGCCTGTTTCACGATGGATTGACAAAGGGCTGTTCTTTAAAAAAAGATAACGTCATGAAGATTGCCACGATATTATGTTTCACGATATGATACAATGATTTTTCATGACACAACGATTATCACAAAATCAGTTTCCCTTATTTTGCAATTGTTTCCCATGATTAACGCCTTGTGTTTTATGCTGTGCTGCACCTCCAATACGAACAACGTTATTCGGCTGCAGTTCAATCAACGTAAGCTTGCCCTAGCCCAGGGGTCGGCAACCTACGGCTCCGGAGCCGCATGCGGCTCTTTACAGGCTGCTTCTTGACGATATGTACGTATGTACAGTATGTACTCAGATGCATTGCGGCTCTTGAAATACTGAATTTTGTACCGAATTGGAAAGAAATTGCTCTTCTTGTTATTTTGGTTGCCGACCCCTGCCCTAGGCCTTTGAATCGTTGTGACTTTATAAAGTTTTCCATAACGTTCATGAAGGAAATAGTGCCAATTACACCGTGACGAACATGATGATGTCATATTATTGCCATGTTGTTAAAACTACTCGAAAAAACTAAAACTCAACACATTCAACACATGTTTTGGGAAATGGCCCTTCTTCATAGCAAATGAAAAGGAATTTCAAGGCACTCCGCACCTCCGATTAACCCAATTGACCATTGCCCAAAACATCGCCTCATATATTTTGTGTTCTTTTAAGGCCACACACAGTGTTATTGACGTATGTATGTTGAACCTCTTTCGCACCGTACGTAACTAATCGTGCTAATCGGAGATGCGGTAGAAGGACAACAAACTAAACACAAAAAGCAATTCTGAAGAAATCAGTTTTCTATGTATGTATATTGACGAATTTGTTGTCTTTGTTTCGTGAATTGTGTTTTTGCACGAGCGGCAGCATCACCAAATAATAAAATAAATACTATTTAAAGCGCTAATTGAACCTTATGGCGGACCCCGGGGTCCGGAATAAACAGAAGTCAAAATCGTAATCAATTTATTTATTTTTGGCAACTCCATCCCACCACGCACATAAATGCCACGACCCACCTGGCGCGGATCATTCTGTTGTCATGTCATGTCCAAGCGCAGCAGCGAGGACGAAAGCGCAGAAGAGCTGAACAAGCGAATGCACTCCATGCTCGGGTATGGGCAGGATCATAAGTATTATCCAAAGTTGCTCAAACTGCCTACACGACTTAAGTCCTTTATTTATCATCACGGTCTGCATAATACAGTGAAACTGCTCTCTTATCTTCATTATTATTTGTGACCTACCAATGTCTGCAGCCAGGATTACCTGCAGATATTTAACAGATGAGATGCGTTGAACCGTTAATTCCTCCTGTTTGATTATAATACTTCTCTTGTCCGTATGCATCTGTGCAGATAGGGTTTTTTTGCGGTTAAGCCATAGACCCCACATACCGCTCGTATCAATGCGGATAAGAGGAGCGGCGACCCACTACTCTGTAGAGTGACATTGGTATAAGCGCTTGTTACAATATGAACAGCGCATTGAAAACGCGTACTATTTTATGTACTGTTTACAAAGCGTGTTCACAAATCCACACTGAGAAACAAGGCCGATTGGCAGAGGGGTGTACATAATTTTTTCGATAGTGTATTTAAATAGAGGTACTGCATTTAAGTTGTTTCCAGTTTTAAAGGCATAGTATAACAAGACAACACTTGCCACCATCCTTCAAACCCATTGGTGAAAAAGAGCAAAGTTTTTGTTAACATTATAATATAATTCATAATCAACGTTTTTGGGTTTAGATCGCGTTATTTATAAATGTGTCGTAACCCTCCACCACCCGACACGGCCAATCAGTAAAAAAGTGTCACGTTGACAAAAGACAAATAGCTCACTGCTTTAGCCCACCGGTGTGTTGAATATCGCGATCTAAACCCAAAAACGTTGATTATGAATAATATTGGTCGCGAAAGCCTACGTGTTAAACTGATTATAATATAATATTTACATTATAATATAATGTTTATGCGAGAGCCGGGGGCTTATGGGACCCCGGGGTCCCGCCATAAGGTTCAATAATCGCCATAACATTCATTCATCATCATCAGCAGGAGCAGCAGCTCCATTGCAGTGGCATCCGCATACGATATCCCACGAAGGCCTCCCCCACCATGAGTCACCCCCCTAACATTAGCAGACGAGGCTCTGCCATCCGTGCCTTGCAGGAGCGACTATATTTAACACACGCGCCACAGACGTCA